ACATTTTTTTTTTGATTTTGGGGGCTCATAGCACTTTCCCTATAATTTAAGCTTATGAATACTAAAATTACCTTATTGATTTTGGGGGCTCATAGCATTTTCCTATAATTTAAGCTTATGAATACTAAAAGTATTTACTAAATGAAAAAAATATTTAGTTATTTTCCTAAAGAAATATGATTTTAAGAAACTTTAAAATTCATAATTGGAAACTAAGCTATAAAATTCATAATTGAAAACTACTCATTAGGGGCTGTTTGACCGTCAATTATAGTAACTTTTTTTACTGTATATTGTTTGGTTGACAAACATCATGGGTGAGATGACACCATAAAAGCTAACGTGGCAACCTCTAATAAATTTCTTCTAGTGAAAGAAATATCCCTCAAAGAGCTGTTTGTTTCGAAACAAATTAAAAAAAAAATCAAGAAACTCATTTTTTAAGAAATGACATATGAGATTTAGAGTAGATCATTTCAATTGATTTCTAATTACTCTGCTCTGAAAGATGATTTTTAGAAATGTGACCTTAAAATTGGGTATCACGTCAAGAAAATAAAAAAAAGTCAATTTCCGAGTTTTGAGCTTAGAAATAGACTTGGAAATTTCACAGTAGAATAATGAGGCTACTTTCTTGAAGGAAAATTTTGGGGCTTTTTTTTAATAAAACCATCACAAAATGTAGTGGCTTTCTAGAAAACCATCACAATTTTTATTTTATTTTCATTGAACACCACAAAATATAGCGGTTTTTCAGAGAACCACCACAATTTTTTATTTTCATGAAACCATCATGAAAATATGCATCCATAACAAAGTGTTACCAAGTTATAATTTTGCATATATATCATGTTAAACTAAATAATATGGTAAATTCCTAAAATACCATCATGGTGGGACCCACCAAATCGTATTATCAAATTTTCTTAAACCAACAAAATCCCTGAGCACCATTAATGATACAGATGGTTTGGAGGTTCTAATATGGCTTCGACATCTTGGGGTCGGTTCATGTTCGCCTCATTATCAAAGGAAAAAAAAGAAAGAAAGGAAAAAAACATACAAACAAACAAACAAAAACAAAAACAAAATAGCTTATTTCTCTCTAAAATTTTGTTAACTCCCTCAAAAAGTTTTTAATCCCCTTGAAATACCCACCACACTCATCCTCTCTAAAATTCATAATGAACATTTATACTATTTTATACTACTAGGTTTTATACACGTGCAATGCACGTGGTCAAATATCATGATTAAGTATTTTTGGCTTATTTTCTAACTAAAATTTGTTCCTCGGTTCTACTTTAATAGTTTATGCTCACTTTTATCTCTAAACTTTAATATTGTGATTAGTTATTTTCTCTGATGTTTGTTTAAATGGTCTACACCCAATTTAAATTTCATGTTAATATTTGATTTGATAGAAAATAAATATAATTTGAAGTTAATTTGAATTTTCATATTATTTTGACTGACATGAAACCAAGTTTTACTTAAGAAAGTACAATATTGCAAAAGTAAAAAATATTGAAACAGTGTTATACAATGAAGGTGAATATTTAAAACTAATAAGACAAAATAATTACTTAAAAGTATGCTAAAACGATACAAAAGAGAATATAAAGTTTGTTCTTAATCATTGATAGACTTCATAAAAAATTATAAATTAAAGATTAACGCTAACTCCAGTATACTTTCTTATGATAAAATCATATGCACAAGCATATAAAAGTACTAAAAGAAAGCTCATAAAACTCTCTTCTAAAGATTTCTAAATTCACTCAAAATAATTAAACTATTTTATAAAATATTCAGAAAATATTATCTTTTATTTCTTCTGTTTTATTTTTTACTGGGCTAATATCAATCATTACTCACTTTTATCTTTTTCTCGAGCAATTCTAGAGTAGTATCTTCATCATCTACTCGATTGTGACATCATACTAAAGTTGTACTTTTTGTGTTGTTATCATTCCTGAGCTCGTTAATCATTCCTGAGCTCGTTAATCTTTTATCTTGCTGTTTAACTTCACAAAAAAGTTAAATGTATTTCCAATATTCAACACAAACTTCTTGAAATACAAACTTTGATTTTTTTAGTTCAATGAGAATTTTTATATATATATATATATATATATATATATGAAATTCTTTGTGTTCCTAATTTATTACTTAAATAAGATTATGAGCTACCTCTTTCTTTTTTCTATAATGAATTCTTTTGATATGCATTCAATAAGAGTTTCTGTTACATCAATAATATTACATTTGCTATATCCCTATTATTTTTTACAAAGATCTAAACTAAATATCTGTATTTTCTATTACCGATTTGTCTTAGATTATAATATTAATATTTAATTTTTAGTATTTGAAGAATAAAGTATGAAATTTATGAATGCTTCCTAATTTTTCTTACATCTTCCATGGAGAATTCTTTTTTGATTGGGATAAAGTTATTAAATTATTCTTCAATGTAACTCAATTGGTGTTTCTTTAGTAGGCATGCCTTATATTAATGCCAATTCAAATGATTCATGGATGTTTTCTAAATTTTAGATTTATTTACGTCACTTTCCCATTTGTAATAAAAATAGCTTGATTCTTTCGAATGATATCTCTGAGCTATCTGATAGTTTCTCTATACGTAATTCATTGTATTCTTTTACCCTATAAATATTATTAACATCAGATATTAATATTTCTAAATTATAATTAATTGATGCTAAGCTATTATATTATAGTCTTTTATTATTTTTATGGATTTAAACATTTATCAATTAATTTTACTAATGTGTTTTGCTACTCCAACTTATTAGTGAAATTTTATGTCGTTGCTTTAATTTATATAGTGACGATAATTTGTAATCTACAATATTTTTAAAATTTTTATTTCTTAACCGAATCTTTTTAATCAATTCTTATTGCTTTTGTTTATGAGTATCAACTTAGATTGTCTTTAGATGCTAAAAAGGAATAGTAAACCCTAAATTGGCAATTAAATATATATCTTAATGAAATAATATCTAACAATTATACTTTTCTTTGTCAAGTTTTAAAACTTCAGCCCTTTTTGTGGTTTGGAACTTTAAGGATGTGATTTATAATTTTTAAAACTTTGAGAGCATTTTAAAAAAAAAAATTAAGTTTGGTAATTGTAACTTCCATGTTTCATGTGTCGGTAGTAATTTTTAAATATCACGATATTTCTTACAACTCTAAAAATTTTAAGTCTGTTTTTTTGCAATTGTTAAAACTATAGATTAATTTTTAAAAATTTAAATTTTAGCGGTCTACCAATAGTTTTCAGATTTGATGTGTATTGGTTATAAATTTTAAAATTTTAGAGTTTTTTTTGTAATTTTTAAATTTTGAAAGAGTCTTTTCTACAACTTTTGTAACTTTGAGGTTAATTTTGGTAAATTTTAAATTTTTAGGTGCATGAGGGTAATCTTTTGAATTCATCTTTTAATTGTTTGTAAATTTTAAATTTTTTATAATTTTAAGGTTGTTTTTTATAATTTAAACTTTTGAGGGGGATTCTATAATTTTTGAGACATTGAGGGTGTTAATTAAAAATTTTAAATTTTTTGGAGGCTGCTGCTAATTTCTTAATTTCATATTTGTTGTTTTAAGTTTTAAAATGTCAAAAATTTTTAGGAGCATTATGGTAATCCCTTTGAATTCATCTATGTTGTTTGTCAGTCTTGAAATTTTAGAATTTCATGTGCTTGTTTGTAATTTAAACTTTTGAGGGTGTTTCTATAATTTTTGAGATAATAAGATGTTATCCGCAAATTTTAAATTCTTCGCTGTTAATTTCTTGATTTCATGTTTGTTGTTTTAAGTTTTTAGACGTCGGGATAGTTTTTATAATTTTAAACTTTTTAGGTATTTTGTGCAATTTTAAAACTTTCTAGGTTTTTTTGCAATACTTTATGTATTATAGTACGTTTTTTGCAATACTTTATGTACTGTAGTACATTAGCTACGTATATTTTTTTTTATCTTTACAAACTAATACAATAAAAAGATGTTTTATATATTTTATTAATATTACTTTTTAAATTGTTAAGATATAGATAGTTCACGTAGGATTAGGATATGATATAATTATGATTAGGATATATTAAGATATAAATAAAATATTTAAAATAGTAAATGATAATATTGACCATAGAAAGATTTTCGGAACTCGTGATTTTAAAGGGAGTATGATTATTTAACAAGATATTGATGTAAATTACGACTTGATGGGCGTTGTAAAAGATTCATATTTTCATGGTGGTTCTATGAAAAATAATTTTTTTTATTGTTTTCCAAAAACTAGTGTATTTTATGATAGTTCTATAAAAAAAAAAAAAAAAAAAAATCTTACAGTGGTTCTCGGAAAATCGCTATATTTTGTGGTGGTTTTGTATGAAAAGAAAAAAAACCCTAAATTTTTTGATTGGAAACAAGCACATTCATAAGACTTAAAAATTTCACCCGATTTCTTCCAACCCTCTTGATTCGTTTCTAGGGTTTTATCCGATTGATGATCCGGTGCTATCGAGCTGAACCTGGAACCCCGGCCCCCTGCTCAATCTGAGCTCATGGTCCCTCGAAACCCCGGGTCCTCCCGATCCCACGACCGCGTCGAAAGCCACCAAGGCGATGATCCCGATTACGTCCTCTTCTTGAATCATCTCAGCCCCGATCGCAGCGGCGCCTCCTACACTCTCCGGATCAGCAACAACGTGATCGGGTACGAAGACCAGGATCGAGGCGGGAGCAGCTTCGATCGTAACAATACGAACAACAAGAACGATGGTGACTGTGGTAGTTCTAAAGACGTCTCGGGCCCCGACGACGCGTCCACCGACGTTTTGGTACGAAATGTTCAATAATATTATGCCGGAACAAATTTTTACTGTAAACTCAAACCAACTTTTAATTACCAAAATCGATCCATTTTTTTTAATTACAAAAATCGACTAATTTTATGTCACGTAAGCTTAATCCTATTTCCTAATTAGTCAGGGTTACCAACCCCGACTGTTTAGGGCATTAGAAAATGTGATTAAACTTATGTGGCATAAAGTGAATCGATTTTGATAATTAAAAAAAAAAATAGATCGATTTTATTAATTAAAAGTTGGTTTGAGTCTACAGTAAAAATTTGTTCTATTAGGCCGTAGCATCGTCTTCTTTCATCGAGTAATTTAGCCTTAGTTCACCTTGGTATCCCCAAATATATATATATTTTAATAACACTTGGACTTGGTTATCCGAATTTTGAATCCCAGGGTATGTCTTTTAACATTTTGATATCTCAGAATCTCAATGCCACTTAACTTCGATACGCCCGTTGCTAATCACTGATACAAAATTTTTTTTAGCCGGAAATTAGCCGGTTCCCTATCGATTTTATTTATTGGTGGCAGGAATAGCCATTAAAAGCTTACAAAAAGGGAAAGGGAGGGGGGGTCCCTAAAACTTTCGAACATGTGAGAAAGCCGGATATCTTAGCACCATCTTGCAACAAAAAAACGTAAAACATATCCAAAAATCTCTGAGATCCCAAAAGAAAGAAAACACACGGTGGCAAACTAGCCCAAGTCTCACATGTTCTTCAAACTGATTACTCGTAACGGTNTTGTTTTTTTCTAACGGTTTTTTTTTTTTTTTTTTGTCGTGTAAACTGTCATGTATAGGGAACTGATCATGCTGTCGTCTACGATAATGTGCTTCAGGGAGGCGAGGTGTTATCTTCTTTCCAAAGCAGGCTAATGGAGAGTCTAAAGAGGCCTTTTGATCAGAGAGAATATGATAGGTTATTGGCAGAGGCGAAGAAGCGCAAACCCATAGTGAAATTTAAGCACCTGCGCACAGAGGACATACCTTACGAAACCGATGAACTGGGGGCTTCTTATTTTCATCACTACCCTGATCTCCGCAGAAAGGTGAAATCTGCTGATCATGTTGGGGGTTTGATGCTGTTGCGCGGTTTTTTCTTTTGGCTGCAGAACCTAGGCCACAAAGGAGCATATAAACCTTGGGAATCGAATCTCTGACTATTGTTTGCTGATTGAAAGTACTTCAGAATTTAAGATGCGATGATTGCGAGTTGGAGGATAGTTCCTCTTCTCAATGCTTGGCATCTGATTCAGAACTTGGTCATATGATATCCTTTGGTGCACCAATATATACTGCGCGTCACATTTGGTATCTTACATCATGGTATTGAAGGAACCTTTGAAGCTAATTTGTATTAATTGTACGTTTGGGATTTAAAAAAACAAAAAACAAAATCGAATACACTTTAATCAAGTTATATTCTTTCATTTCTACTGGTCACATGAAACTGTGTAAAGTGATTAACAGTTGGATAAATCCCTCATCAACTGGCCATCCCCATGAATCTGACAATGTTGTAATCAGCATTCCGCGAACACCCCAATCTATTCAACTCAAGTATATGAAATTCTATCAAAAGACATTGTAACAAGAAGAGTTTTTTTCATACTCAACTCAAGTATATGAAATTCTATCAAAAGACATTGTAACAAGAAGAGTTTTTTTTCATACGGAAACCGCTAGAGGCATATAACTGATGTGTAATGTTGGCAAGTTGCTCCCTTTAGGGTTATAATTGCAGATACCACTGTAGGTTAACTGGGGATAGGCCTCTGTACTATCGTATCCCCTCTGTACTATCGCCAAATTGTGGATAGACTAATGAACCCCGTGTACTTCTGTTTTAGATAGAAACTAGTTCTTTTAACTCCATTAGTTTCCTGTTAAGATTGGAGTGACATAAACTGAAGTATATGAGCTTAACTGATTTACTTACTATAAACTTGCATGATGATCACTAAATACAACTAATTTACTTATGGAGTTGAGAATCCAGGATATCTATTAACTATTTGCTGCAGAAGTACAGGGGTCTATTCGCAATTTGACAATAGTACTCAGGGTCTGTCTGCAACAAACCCTTTTAATTAAATTAGTCACATACGGGAAAGTGCATTAAGAGGTAGAAGTACACACATTGGCACCACAGAATCATCAAATACCACATCGCCAGCATAAGTTTTCAATGCATCTTTTTGCCAACTAACATCCAAGACACAACATTTGCAGAGCTCAGTCATGTTCAACTTTCTCACAAGAAAACAATGGACAAGTCTAGTCAGCAAGAAAAATAAAAATATTTATCCATGTACAAACTTGTCTACTAGAGCAAAAAGCCTCACACAGCAACTGAAATCGTCAGGATACAAGCTTCCCGGAATTGGATTCTCGATACAATAACCAAACTTTAGACATACTCAAAAAATCTGAAGCAGGACGAATAAAAAACTGTCTGCTTCTACAAGCAAACCTTGCTTGTGTTTTTTACCCTCAGGGGATGAGACGGATGCAAAATCAATCACAAAAACCATGCATTTTCCTTTGGACACTATACATATGGAGCTCTGCACAAGCTGTAGGCAAGACATTGTACAACAATTTGTATAGGGAAGTGGAAATTGCCACTTGGGGAAAACAACTGAGCAGCCAATAGCTGAAAATCCAAAACCAAGTACCTGAAACAAATACTTCACCGTGTTAAGGATGGCATAGCAACTTATAATTTTTGAACAAAATAAAAGGCATAAAGAGTCAAAGACTCACAGGGTATATGGGAAAATAAAAAAAATCCAAGAAAATAACACATGGCAATGTTCAAAGAATGACGATTTGGATAATAATATTCATCAAGCCATCTTAAGCGCCTGCTGTATCTGAGCAAATGCTGAGGGATGTATTTTGCCAATAGCTGCATTGAAAGACGCTTCACCATGCAGAGATGCACATGCTTTCAGGTTTTCTCTAAGCATGCTTTCCAAGGACAATTGCTTGATGGGATCTGAATCTTTAATCTGGTATATTTCACCCAAACAAATAAAAAGAAATAATCGTTCAGTGCACATGCTAAACTTGAATCTTACACATTCTTGTTTAAAAAATAGGCAAAACTTGGTCTAGCCAAGCACTACTTAGGAGATGTAGCTTCCTTACTTGTCTTCTTCTTAATTCCTTGCTCGGCACGCCACCATATCCAAAACTGTCACTGTTAGGCCAAGGGGAGCTAGGGGAGCTTGCACTGTTATCATTGCCAATAATTCAATGAGGAACATGAATACCAAAGCAAGTTGTCATATACAAAGTAAGTTGGAAAATTATGCAATGTCTAAAGGAATTGTACCTGGAATCCTCTTCGCTTGTTTCTTTACTTTCTCCCAAAATAACAGTGGTACAAACACTGCATTTAAAGGAAAAAAATGTGAACACGGGAAGGTTTATACAACGTGCATATGAATGTGAAATCACTTCTCCAAGTAGTAACATACCTGAGTATGTCCTCGAGTTTATCAATGACTTCAGGCACTCTTAGTGTTAAAATAATAGAAAGAGCTGATGCATACGCCTTCTTCTGTATGAATGTGGCATTGTCAATCTGCATATCATGAATTAGCAAGCATCCCAAAATTAGAATATTACACAATTCTTTTTATAAGAGGATCTCCACTTCCTTACAGGAGTTCACTTGAGAATGGCACTTACACAATAATTACGAGATGATAGCTAAGGACAAACAATGGATCATGAATCCGTGAATAGTTTATTTGGACTTTCTTTCAGAATGTAAAGATCAATTTTTACAGTCTAATAATAAAGACTTTCTTTCAGAATGTAAATCTTTACTGATTGATAATAGAGACCAAATTTTATGGAATCACCTGTTGTTTTTGGCCATGTCATACAATACATAAGAAAACATGCAGTGCAGCGTGCAGATATTAAAAATTGCAGCTTGATGCTGCGAATTATAAGCTGGAAGATTGAGGACTCTTATAGTTCACTCAAGCCATGTGTTGCATCGATATGCCAATGATATATCAAGTAGAGAAAAACCAAAAAATTCTGAAATTTCAGGACATGAATATGCATGGTGAGGTAAAAAGGAGTACTGTGCAAGTTCCTTAAGCATCTGAATATCTTATACACATTGGATATGGCTCAAGCATATTTTATTATGTTCTTACAATCAGGTTATATGGCTCATGCCCATTTTATTATGTTCTTACAATCAGGTTATCTACATCTGTTACTCCTTGAGGAACTTCACTACTGCCCTTCGCTGAAGGGAAGGAGGTGACCAAGTCAGATGAACGTCAATTTTTTAATGTGGAGACTTACCTTACTTATTACTCCACATTGACTTCATTTCAATGCCAGTCACATGTTATATAATGATGCATTGATGATGATGATTGATGCCTCACAATGAGATATTGCATTATTGGACTTCGCTAGCATACCGATAAAAGGAAAAAGGGGTGAAAAAGAAGAAGGAGAGAAGGAGAAGGCATGGAAACGCATATTCAGGGAGGAGAATGAGACGGAGATAACGGAGGAAGAGCCCTATGAGAAAAGGGGACCATATGCAACAAACAGAAGGGGGGGGGGGGGGGGGGTTATAATGTGGTCTACTTGTTCAGAGTCATTGTGTTCGGGCAAGATAAGTGAGAGCAAACTTAAGGCAAATCCAGGTGTGGGGCGATATAAAATTCACTTTGAGGCAATGTGTTAAGGTCGCCGACTGTCAACATGTCGGCCGACAGTCCAACATGTCGGCCGACAATGTGACTATTCGGTTTGAGGGCTTGAGCGACACGATATGGGCGTTTTCAACTTGTATGTCGGTTTTCAGGGCCAAATCGGAAATATCGGAGCCATATCGTGCATATCGACCGATTTTTTATCTTTGAAAAAAAGGCCGATATGGCCTTTTTTTTTAGATCTATTTTTCTTATCAGGTTTGGGTTTAGTGATAAAAACCCAAACCCGTTTGACCCGTTCTCATGTTTAAGGGTTTCTTATGAACCTGATTGAAAGAAAAGAGAAAAATTAGGGCTACAACGGACTTGGGAACCCATCACTCCTTTCGTGAACAAATACGCCCTTCCCCCACCTCCATCTCGGCCCCCCGTCGTCCATCTCACCTTTTGCCCCGAAATCCGAATCCCAACCGAACTCGAGGACGACAGGATATCCCGTCGTCGGGATAAAGAGAAGAGAGTGGTCGGTGACTCATCCGAAGGACCCCGAGCAGACGAAGAAGAAGAAGAGCTCCGGCACTGTCTCCCTGCAACGTCCTGTCGCCGGTGCTGCCTCCCTACGACGTTAAAATCCACCCATCGCCGGCATCACCTCTAAAATTTATTAAGTATGCTTATATTGAATTTAAGAATACTTAGATTACATTTAGGACATGATATTATACATATGCGCACCACCCGATATGGCAATCCGATATTTAGTCCTATCCCCCAATATATCCCCGATTTTCGCTATCCGACATGGATTTCAGTCGTCCGACATGAACCCGACATCCGACATTTAAAACCTTGCTTTGAGGAATAGCTACAAGGAGAGTTTTCTAAACCCTATGATATTCTGTAAAGTAGCTGTTCCTATCTACAAAAGGCTTACATGTCATAGACAAACACAGATTTTAGCCACAGAAAACATACAAGTTCTTACTTTTAAAATCAGTAATGCAGTACGGTTTAACAAGAAAACATCTTAAAAGCTGCATATTCAGAAATATACTAAAAAAACGTGCCACAACCACTTTCAAGAGAAACATAAAGTGGACCATGTCCTTACCTACAACAGAAGCAGAGAATTTTCTCAAAATATAATAGGACAGACTAATTGAGAAGGTGAAACCCGAAAGATAAGATAGTTAAAAAAAAAGGATAACCTCATAGTTAAAACAAATAAATACAGAAGGAAACTGCTATATCAATAAAAACCAACAGTCTATATGAATGGACCAAATAATGCCACAAAGTTATAGAACTAAATATCGCAGGCCATTACCTTATCAATCCACAAATCAACCAAACAAAGAAGGATATTCTGGTTGATGCAGAGACCCGCCTGTTGAAGGACTAATGCAAGAGATGGATCAGATGCTAAATGAGCAACATAATTGGTATTCATCACAAGTAGCCTTGCAAGAATTGCTCCAGAAGATGTGCGTACAGCCGTCCTTGAAGGATTATGATCATCTTCTCCGCTTAAGCAGAGAACAATAAGTTTCTACAATGACATTGTTACAAAAAATTCATTTCACGAACTCAAAAGCATAAAACTTTTCTGATTAATAGATTTAACATTTAACCAGAACTCTAGTTACCTGAAGCACACCGAATATCAAAGGAGGTGCCTCTGCAGGAAAGCACTGCACACAAGCATGCTAGGTAAGTAAATTGTTTAACGAATACCAAGAGATCTATATTTAAAAAGGCAAAAGAGCAACGTGGAGGTGGGACTTCTTTATGAAGCGAGGCATAAGGTTCAAGGTGTGATGAACGGACCTCATAAGTTAACTATATTTTAAATTTACAAATTATAAATGTTTTAAGCATATAATATATAATGGTAAAATAATTACAAACTGATACATCCAAATCTTCGACAATAAATTTCATAAAAATCGACAATATATAAGAATGAAATATGCTAAAGACAAAAATCATAACAAAATAAGGTACACATATGAGACATATACTTTATTCAAAGGCACACGGCCATTTTAAAGAAACATACATAAATTCACATAGTTCTAATTTTAAAAAAAACTGAGCTCAAATGCTGCATTGGTTCGAGTATCCATATAAAAATGAACAAGAAAATTGGCATAGCTCACAAACGAGAGAAGACCGACTACTGGAGATGAACATAAAACCCATCCAGATACACAAAGAAACACGAAATCAACCTAAAATTCAGAATTGTCGGAAGACAGGTTGAATTAGCAAGAATGAGATGCTCCCCCTGAGCACACAAAAGAAGCAAATCTGAAAAGTACACACTTCAGTTATGCTTCAAGTGATTAAGAGAAGCTTATAATACAATACATTTGAGCCTCCACAAGAAAAGAAGAGAATCCATTAATATGCCTCTAGTTGAGGGAACAATCCATCTTTCATCATCTGTTTAAGCATCCTCAATTATGAAAATTGAACCATGATTAATGACAAGATACAAAGGCTTTCGCCAAGGTGCACGGAAATCAATGACTACCATCATTACATCTAAGTTCACTACAATGAAAATTTTGATTACTTCTCAAACTGATATGATTCTCAAAGTAACATGCTTGACTTTTAAGTGAAACAAATGAGAATTATTGACCAGATATTTTCTTGGTAAATACACATGGCTCTGTTTTTCTTTTTTAGTGAAACAAATGTAAATCTACAGATTATTTGAAATCAACCAAGCTGATCACCTTTGTATTCTTTTAGTTTTATATAATTCTCTTCGATCAAGAAATCATGGGATGATTGAACAGTAATTCCCAAGATACTTGTTAACAAAATATTGACTAAATAACAGGATACACATCTAAATAAATGCAGTCAAATTTCCATCTACTGTTGGAAAGACTTGATTTCATTGAGTTCAATAGGAAAGTAAATATGCAACTGTTTCTACAAGTGTTTTCGTCGAAAAAGCTACTTCAAGATGGCTTCAAACTCTCATCAAGAACCCAACTTTCATGGATGTGGAAATGAGAGAATATAAAGGCCGGTAACATGAGATAACAGGGACCAAAATAGGGGGCATTCTACGCAATTAAATCATCTAGGCACAAATGAATATGACGAATTACTGCTTTTTACCAACAGATTACATAAATAAGAAATAATGTTCTAAGAGTAAGGATGTAACTAAACACTAAATTTGGATATGATAAAAGGAACCAAGTTAGAAGATTCATCGAGATAATGTACATATCACTACCGGGCAGATAAACATGTAAGTAAGGAGTTAACCCCAGCACAATGGACACCTACCCAGACTGAAGAGTTTGGTGATCCCCATACTTTTATCATAGATCAGAATATTCCATATATAAGAAACTGAAAACAGCAGAGGAAATTGCAGTACGGGGTATTTGGACTGACTATGCACTATGCAACATAGTTTGTTGACCGAGTTTGCTTCGGTCCATAATGGCTAAAGTTTTGATGATTAAATAGAACCAGCTCAGGTACGAACATTCTGCGAAGTGGTTGTACTAAATCGATCGTAGAAAATGACACCATGGGACACCTATAGATGGTATGGACCTTTAAACATTCATTAATAATGAGGCCTGACCAATGGAGATCTAAGTTTGGAAAATGCTGAGCTACATGAAGCATTTGACATGTTTTGCACAGATTCTGTTGAACTATGGAATTCAGGTAAAATATAGTCATAGTTCTTTGATAATTTTGTTAGCACGAATTTATGATAAACGTACGCACTACAGTTAGCTTTACGTATGTAAGTTAAATCTGCATCAAGAAAGGCCTAACTGATAATGAAGAAAATAATTTTAGCCCATGCTGTTTCAGATTGATAAATCTCTATTAAGCTGTGAAATGCATCTTATTAGACTCCAAGACACAGAAATCGGTACAACATGCTTTATTTGGTTAAAACTAGCACAAAGTAAAATATGGACAGATAATGAATGAAAAACAATAGAAGACGAATTAGAGAACCCAATAAACAACAGTAAGAAATATTCTATTTTAAAAACCTGGAGGGTGTTCATCATCATACCCTATTTCTCCCACAACCAATTACACTAGAATTAGAAGAAGAAGGGGAATAAACAGATGGCAGTGTAAGACACAAGAGTTAGCTGAATTAAAAAATAACAGTTAACACACACCTGGACTAAAATATCAATGATGGGAAGAGTTGAAAGAATCCCTTTGTCATTAACATTTGAAATAATGCCATCAAGCAAAGTAGCTAAACTTGATGCGTGGCGACTCAAGAATTCCATCCCACCAAAAATTAGGTAGTCCTCAATAATATCTACAGCTACCTGCATTTCAAAATTTCAGTTTTAGTCTAATCGTACAAAATCCACCATTATTTGTGTTTTATAAGATATTATCTTCTTATGGAATATCTCTGTTTTGTGCATAGACATGCTTAAAAGTCTCATACAACGGCGGAGCATTAACTCATCCCCAACCGCCACCCCCAAGGCCCAAACTCACAACACCTGACCACAAGCACCTTTTGGCCCATGACCCCAACTTTCAACAGTTCCTTCTGGGTATATCAGCAGGGTCACTCCTCTTTAATCTGATTGGCCCCTTGTTTAAGCGTAGAAGCTGCTGATTTTGGATGCCAGACATATCTAGAACATACAGATTTCTGGTTATTTTGCTAATAGTAAGTACTCTTAAATTCACCAATCTACCCAGCTTAATATGAATCCTATTTCAGCTGCTTAAAATGCTTTTCTTGTTTTTCCTTTATCTTACCCTGATCCTGATAGTTTAGTGATATTTGATTCTGTTTTAGTATCTTTACAAACCCCATCTGCATGAAAGCATGCTAAGTGTAAATATAATCTTTCAACATCAAGTCTTGTTTACAACTGCCTTTATAGGGTTCAGATACAATTTTCAGCAGGATCTTACCATTAAACTTAAGTTGAAAAATAAAGCAGATCTTAGTTGAGTTATTGATTAGTCTCCATAAATTTCACCCAGATGCTAATTGTTGGATCAAACATGACCTAGTATTTGCTTCACCTTATTTCCTCTTTCAGTATTTTACCCTTTACTTAAAATCATGGTAAGTCCTGGAGGCTTCAACAACCATCGTAATGGCAATTTTGTTCATCAATCTCTTTCTTTTCCCTGTTCTTTTTTCCTCTACCCGTTGCCCTCTTCGTCTTTTTGCCCTCTGCTATTTTTTACTTTCAATAAAAATCAAATCCTTACCTTAAGCTGCATACGGTTTTGTGATTCGTAGGAAAAAAATCTGAGTCATAAAGACTACACTTTCACTTTTTGAATAAGTTGTTCGGCACCGGACCTGGCATCCAGCAGTCTAGGGGGAACTTTTTTCCGCCAGAACTAATGTCCAGTAGTGTGGAGGGTTCATATTGAGAGAAAGACATCAGGAAAAAAAATAATTTACAGTTTAAATGAATAATTTACATCAGAATGGAAAGACAAAACCTTAAAAAAACTATGATATTTTACCCCATTTGTGACTTCTTCAAGGTTGCTGACTCATCAAAGAAGATTAGAGAAGCTCAATGGTGCTGAAATCACCCAGAAGAGGTGCCGGAGTTGAGGATCTAGGACTTTTTAGAAAAGAAAGAGGCATGGGAACTGGGTCCTCATGGTTTTTTTAAATGAGGAAGGAATGTTTTCAGAGAAAAATTATAACTGGGTTTTGGTTAACGAGTCGGGTCTTGCGGGCTAGTGGGTTTTTTTTGGATTGGGTTTCTCTCCTGTGGGGAAGCTATCCTATCTTTAGATGGCCTGGGGTCGTGCCCCAGGCTGCCTTCTACAACAATGGAATTAGCCATCACTTTGAGAAGAATGAGGTTGAATTGTTAGAATCTTAAAACTATAATATATGACCTGTCCTGGAATTATGTATTAACCTACTATCACCTGTACAGCAATTCCGTTGAATTCTTGTAATCCATCAGGATAATCATCCTCTAAATTTAACTGCTCAAGTCAGCCTTTGAGTGCAGAACCACAGATCCATATTTCTATTTTGGAAGATAAGTGGTATAAGCTTAGGATAAGAAAGAAGAGAACAAAATTTGTTTAGCGATCTCTGTTCATTTATGTGAACCATTAGAGATGATTTTCCCTCATCCTGTCCCAACCTGAAGCTCTCAGCATTATCATACACTCATTTTTGTATATTGTTCCTTAACTGTAATATAAAAAACATTCATGCAGGAGGGAAATATATAAGAATCCTTCATGCAGAAATAAATATCAATAGAATACCTGCAAATGATCGAAACTCCTTTCCATTATAGACACCAGATAGGGGAACAAATCCAGTAATTGTGGTACTATTGAAGAGGCATGAGAAAGTGTTGCTTCCCATAACTGCAAAATATCATAAGGTTATAGGTAGCTTCCCCAATAATACCATATTAAAATATAGAGTTCCAATAGAAGAACTAACCAGGACACTGTCCTCCAAAAGGCTGAGTGTTTCAGGGTTGTTAACATCAATACCACATTGTAAAATAGGCAGAAGCATGTTATAGCAAATGGATGATTGATACCCAAGGGAACAAATAAAGTTACGGAGTGCTGTTAACAGTTGAATCTGAAGTAAATTCTCTCCCGTGGATTCCTCCCAGATCTGAAAATATTAAGATATCAGAATCATCATCAGACATGAAACAAAAGCCATTCTGAGTAAAATTTTCTAGCAATCTCTCTTTCTGATGTGATTTACAGACCGGACAAATTCTAATTTTAATACCAGCAGACAGAAAACTTGAATCTTCATTAGCATTGTAGTGGTTGCTGATGTTTTATCAATCATTGACATCACAACTCAGGAGTAAAGTGAAGTCATGAAACCAGAGAGTAATGTGGTATTCAAGATTCAGCATTAAGAAACAGAAATTAGATATCTGCTACAGTTATTGAAATTCATGAGCTTAAGTGCTTAATGAGTCTGATGTCTCCATTTATACATCTAAAAGAAAAACTGAATCCACTTTAATACTGAAAATTTGCATCTAGTAGAAGTTCTCCATAATTCCCTTGCTCTACTTGTATATAGACAGTAAACTGTTCAATATTTCACAAAGAATTGAATGTTACCACCTAGAATTCACCTCTTGGGGAATGTATGCTTCAAAATTAGAAAGCATTTATTACGAGTTTCCCTGAGATTGAGAAGTCCTACCAGAACCAGATAAAAGCCAAAAACCTTTTGCAATTTTACTGTACAAACCATAAAGCCTTGAAATCATAATGAAAAAAGATGAACGGATCACTCACTCAGTTTTAAAAGCTATAAAGCAATGCATTGCTTCCTAAGTCTGAATATTGGAAAAGTGAGGAACAAATTTAACATATCATATACAGACAGGTTGCAGAAACTTGATCAAATGAAGGAACATTATGTTAATGATACTCTTTTCATAGTTATACTATGGCATGACAAATTGGGATTAGCGGAAAATGTGAAAGACAAAATATTGAAGTCGTATATCCAAGTCAAGAGGAGATTCTCCCAAGCATAACAAGAAAAATCAGATTGAGGGTGATATATCATATCTACAAGAGCTTCTAAGTACCGTTTAGATTATCACACCACCCCAAACAGATTTGTAAGAAAATGTGTAATTAAATTTTCTAAAAGGAAAACTTAAACTATCTTGCTAGTTTTTATAAGTCTGCTTTCTCCAGGAACTAAACAGTCTAAGCCAAATTAAAAGGTTTACTACTTCAAAAAATGTTGATAGGACTAGCATTAGAAAACATCTTGCCTTTTCACACTAACAGATATAATATAATGTTCACAATTCAGTAACCTTTCTGCTAATACAGAGTAAGGCTAAGCCCGAAAAGCAAAAAATTTCTCTTTATAAAATGGCCATATCAAAAATAAATAAATAAGCAAATAAAAAAAAATCCTTTGGGAACCGGATAGTAAGGTATAAATTTGTTGCATGACCAAGAATATAAAAAAAGAAAAAACCTAAAAAGTTGAATATGTTGTAACGAAAAGGATTGCCAAATGATAATAGAACGTTACCCCAACAACCTAAAGCTTTAGAATCGGTAACTTATGGGGAAACAATATTCTTACTCACAGTCTTCCTCTATCTCAAGAAAACTCAGTGCATTACTATACTAAAACTCATCTGACATATTCTCTTTTTAGGTGAAACAACCATAGAGAAGTGGATTAACTACTACTACTACTACAAAAAAAAAAAGAAGTAAAACTATATGGCAAGACCATGGAATCAAAGATGAAAAATTTGTCTAGACAGATAACTTCTTTCTTCTTACAAGAACTAAAATGTTAGGAACAAGGAAGTCAATACCTTCTGGAAAAAATCCACTAATTGACTTGCAAATGGAATAATCTTTTCACCAATATGTTCAATCAGCACAGATATCAAATTTAAAACTTGGACCTGAAATTAGGTGCAAAGAAGATTTAATGAGACAAATCTGAAATGGAAATAAAAGAAACCATGAGTGTTAGTCAAACTAAGTTCATCAACAATTAATAAGTGTGCAAGTACTTCCATAGAGAGAAAACGAGAATAGGAAAACTCAATAGAACGAATGGATAGATGAGATCATAATGCTGCAAAAATAAGCATGTATGAAAATAGCAAAGCAACCCAGCTAGATGTACTCAATTTATCCATTTGATCAGAGATGTGTATATCCAGACGAGACTACATAGTATTGTACCATTTAAGCTTATAGATAAACCATTTGATCAGAGATGTGTATATCCAGACGAGACTACATAGACGAGAATACATTTGCCTGCCTGAAGAAAAAGAGCACAAAGACAAATATTTTTTCCCCCTCAAAAAAAGTGAACAAGAAAATAAAGCCAGCAGCATGCCAGGAAACAGATCATTGAACCAGAGGGGAAAAAAGCCCATTCAGGTATGAGTTGGGAAGTGTGTATAGCTACAAGAAAGGGGTGACTAGTAAAAACAATGAGTCATTTTCAGCTCTACCTACAGTTGTACACTCGAAAAGCCCAAGTCAAATCAGCTCATCCAGCCTCAGGTTGTAAAATGTAATAATCATTCTGAAGTCTAATCCTTCTTTAAAAATATAAACCGACAAAGAACAACACGAAGCCTTAACCCAATGTTTTTAGTTAAACTACATGAATCCTGCTTTTCTTTTTCCATTCAGTTCCATCCACATTTCATTCAATCTGCTGAGTTAAGTTAGCCACTAAAATATTCTTTTCAATCATCTCCATCCAATTTTTTTTGCATCTACTTCTAAGCCTTCTTCCTTCAACTTCATTAACGATATTCTACCACTTCTCACTGTTGTATTCATTGACCTCCAACCTCTAAGTTTCTACAAGCTTGCTTATTTTTTATTTTATCTCTTAGGCCATGTTTGGATTGGGTATCACTTTGAGTTAATAACCCTTTATCTTTTAAAATAAAATAGTGACATGTTTGGTTCAATTTTAGGGGATATTAGGTGGGACTATTTAGACCATTAAAATCCAGAGACTTAAGACTAAATAATGGGGGAGAGAGGGTGTTAATACAGTCCTGAGATTATTTTTCATTCGGGATTAGGTCCAAAATGACATCACCACCCCTTAACTTTCTAAAAGTTATTACTAATCCTCAATTGTATATTCATCCCCGGAATCCAGATATTCGTTAATCCCTCAATATTTGAAAAGATCCTTTACCCCAATGGAAATATCTAAAATTACTAAATATTCCCTAAAGAAATAAAAATTACTTAGAAGCGTTGTACGAATCTGAGAATTACAAGCAACCCCTTGAAAAATCCAAAAAATACAAACAAAAAATAAAAAATAAAAAAATACAAATAGCCCCTTGAAAAAAAATGAATTGCAACAGCCCTCGAAAAAATTTGCAAATTTCAAACACTTCTTGAAAATTAAAAAGTAACAGACAACCCTCCAAACAATTTGAAAATTACAACCCCCTAAAAAATTTAAAAATTACAAACAACCCCCTAAATTTCAAAAGTTACAAACAAATCCTAAGAAGATCAAAAATTACAAACAACCCTTTAAAGTTTGGAAAATTACAAAAAATCTGAAAAATATGAAAATTACCAACATCCCCTTCAGAAATATGAAAATTACAAACAATGCCTTGAAAATCCAAAAATTACAAACTCCTGAAATACTTTGCTGATATGTAGAGGGCATTATGGACATTTACTGTTATGTTCTAAACTTATCAAATACTATATAACTAAAGACAAATCTTTTGCAATTAAATTTCAACCACAAACGAATAGTTTTTTTTGTGGGATCCTCAGCCACATTACCAACCCCTATCGTATTTAAATTTAAAAAAACACCGGTTCCTTTACAAAACCACATTTTCTACGACTATGTTCTCCTCTATCTCTCCCTTCTCTCTCTCGCCTCTTCCATTTTTTCAAACAAAACCCTAAATTCTCCTCTTCACTCCTCTTTCTTTTCTTCTCTAGAAACTAAATTATTTGACTCGCCCCTCTTTTTTGCAAGCAACTCCCTCTTCTCCTCTTGATCCAACACAAGAAACCCAAAATAGAATCGAATGATCAGCATCGGCTATGATTTCTCACGTCACCACCTTCCCTCCCAATATTTGCGTGTTTCAGATCGAGTACGTTGTCAAGTCCATCAACAACAGCAGTTTACTTTCTTTACGCTTTAATCCCTTTCTTTTCTGAATTTGCAATCTCATACTAAACTTTTAAAATTTTGGGTTGTAGGACTGTGATTGGGATCAAGTGCAAAGATGAGATCGCGCTAGTAAGTTTTGTTAGTTTTTTTGTTGTTTTTCTTTGGTGGCTTAGGGTTACAGTTTTGGGATTTGATGGAACTTTTTGGGAGTTTTGGGGAGCGGAGAAGCTGGTTACGTAGAAGATGATATTAGCGAGATCGAATCGGAGGATTCATTCGATGCAACATAGTTTAATTTGGCTTAATAAACTTCTTTAATTTATTCCCTTTTTTTGGTAGAGCAATTTCTAATTTGGGTAACTTTTCATGGTGGTATTAGTAATAACTAAAGAACCTTGAGATTGTAAAAAGAGTTGTTTTAATGTAAAAAACAGCGGCATAGCAATGTTGAATATATTAGGAAAAGAGTGAACAAGATTGTGATGCTTGTAGAAATAGAATAACTAAGTAGAAATTGTAAAGATGAATTTATACTAACAGAAGATATTTATAAAGACGTTGAATTGATGTGTATTCATGCTAAGCATTTACATTTTTCGTGCGGGCGTCAATGCCTTTGACTGTGAAGATATTAAGAGTTATCTTTTGTGAGTGAAAATTGAATTTCAATTATTTCAATGGAACAAATCAATTATTATAAATTATAGTTTTTTGATGGGATGAAAAATTAAAATTTTATAAAAATTTCTCTCTTTGATTCTTTTTTATTAATTTAGGGGTTTCCAATAAAAAATTCTGATTCTTTTTTATTTTTTGATCTATTGATTGGCTTTCAAATATTGCTCGCAATTATCGATCCCGCCAATTTCCTCTTTGGAAAGAAGAAATCCCAGGTAATTTCTCTCTCCTATTAATTATTGGGTTTTTTGGTAAAATGTTTTGATTTAACTTTTTTGAGGTTATTTTCAGTTATTTGTTAATTATAGCTTGGTTCTCTTAGATACTGATGGCTTTGATTTCTAAACTATTTGTATGGTGTGTGTATTTGACTGAGAGGATTTGGGGGTTCATTCGCTTATAATTGATCCAAGGCCGAATATGAAGACCAACATTAAAATTATTCACGCAAGATTAAATTTGTCTATATATATTTTATTATAGTTGTTCATTGAAGTGATAAATTCATTGATTATGCAAAAGTAGTGATATTTGGATTATGGAAATGACTGAATTTCTGGATCTTTGGTTTGATAGTAGGAATTTCAATGTTACTTTCATGTATAATAGTTAAATAATAGTTTTTGATAGTTGGGTTGGATTGTTTGAAAGTATACAATCAATTTCTTAAACAAGTTTTTAGAAGCCATCTTTTTTAGGGATTATTACTTTGTTGCCGAGAGAGTTATTCACAATAGTTTCATTAAATTAATTTCAGGCTATCAGTCTTTGAAGCCGTATTTTTTATGGACTATTATTTTTTAAATAAGTTTCGTTAAGGCATTAGGTGTGTGATTTTAATTGCAAACAGTAATTGTTTAAAGCATTTTCTTTATAGTTGGATTTACAATATTGTTTTCATGCAGAGTAAGTTTTTGACAGTTAGGTTGGATTGCTTGCAACTTTAGGGTGTGGATCTTCTTTAATCTCTTTGTTGATTATTGATATGATTCTGTCAAATTACATCCAATGCTAAAGTTCTATTGATAACCTCTGTCACTGTCACATTGAGTTGAAACCAATGTTTATTACTATTTTAGGAATTTTTTTATGAAAGTGCCAATGTTTATAACTATTGCATGAAACAATTAATTTGGTTATGTGGATTTGCTTTTTGGGAGGTTGAGGAGACCAAAGTATTTGTGCAGGATTCAAAGAACACGATATGTGAGATTATAAGTAGATTGAACACTCATCCTTGGTATTTAATTTGGTTAATGCTGATGGTATTTAATGCTTAAGGTCCTACAGATAGGTTAAACACTCATCCTTGGTCATTTATTCTTAAGAGTTTAGATCTAATTTATTGCCAGTAATTATAACTACTTGTTACTATCACTAAAAGGTAACATTTTGTTATTACTTTCACTAAAAGGTTAAAAACTTATCCTTGGTTAAACACTTCTTTTTTCGCTTCTAATATTGTAGTTCAATACTCCAATGTTTAGCATATCTATTGTGTATTTATATATTCATTTCAGGTCCTTCTGGCTTCTCTTAAATCAATCTACACTTTTAAGGCTTTGAGGAAATTTGTTCTTCTATAATTTTGTTATCCTCTTTTTGCATGCTAAACTCTGAATGTTTAATTGACAATTCAAGCATGATATCGAAATATACATTGTTATTCATGACCCACATAATGCTCTCTTTTAGAAAATAGGATCCGACGGAGTTTATACGTCTAAGTATAATGCAAAATTCAATGCCTCTTCTTCATAATGATGATTGTTCATCTCAACAGTTCAATGTACATCAAGTTTGCCTCTTAGCATTTTTTTTCTCTCTATATTGTCACTTAATTAGTTTTCATGCATCTACCTTTACTTGTTTTCTTCATACATCAAAACTCTCAAGTCATCTCTATGAAGATAAAATTTCAACTTCTATTGTTGTTGTCATTAATTTTGATTTTATTTTATTTGTTCAAGATGTTTTGATCTAAAACTGAGGACTATGCTTGAACTTGCTTCGAAACATGCTAACAAATGAGTGTCACATAGATCCAACCTCATGGATCTAACAAAAGGAAATTAAAGGACAAGGAAAGCCATAAGTCTTACCAAAAAGTTTTTGGCTATCGAAGATAACAACTAGAAGGACACTATAAGTTATGTGTTAGTTTTTGTTTGCATTACACGAATGTAAGGAGAATGAGGTTTTTAATGGATTAGTAATTGCATTTTCTAATCTTTGTTGGCACGACATCTCTTCTAAATGAAATATTTTCTATTTTACGTCAATTTAGATTATGTAAACTTTTTAATAAATAAAGCTTAATAAAAGAAGTGAATATTTTCAATAAACTATTCAAACATTTTATAATAACACAGTAGGGAATAATAAAACAACCCAGCGATGACATGTGTGATTGGTACACTGAGATACAAGAGAAAACACATTAAATTCCAAAAAAAACATTAACAAAGATAAATTAACTTTTCATCAGAATATATCTTCAACACATGTATAATAAGTATGTAAAGGATATTTACGGAAAGAATTGGGTTCTACATATGATCATATTCATGCGAACTATTGAGTAAGACAATATCTTTTACAATCTTTAAAAGAGAAATAAAATAAGTATAAACAATTTACAACTAAATATTGATAAAATAACTTAAGTAACATTATACAAAATGGTACAAGCAACGTACACATGAGTACGTGATATGCGTTAACAAAGAACACGAGTATATAATATGTCGTAAGAAAGAACACTAATCCGTGCATCGCACGCGCTAAATACTAGTATCCTCTTAATGTCAAGTTCCCAAACATGACATAAGCATCATAGATTTTAATAACAAATTGAACCAAACATATTATTAGAAAATTTAACTCACTATAAACCGCTGGACTATTATATCCCACGACTATAGCGAGTTAAATTAATTCCAGAATTAAAAAGTCCCTAATCCAAACATGACCTTAGTTCAATTCTACTTATCCTTATCAACATCCCCGTTTTCTGTACTCAAGTGTTGGACATTTGCTTCTTAAAGGTCCCATACACAGATCCATTATGCATTGCTAATTATGTTGCCTTCCTATGGGATTTTTCTTCAACTTCATGAGTGTTATCTTGTCACAAATCAAGAAAAGATCCTCTATGTTAGACCAGATTTAAATGAAACCAAATCTTTCTCGATCTCACAGTGGAGATGAATAATAGATCATTCTAATTATTAATTTGCATTACATTCTCATTTCTTCCCATCGCCCTGCTGATATTACATTCCACATATCCAATTTTGTTCCACTAATTATATTTCTCATAGCTTATCTTCACTTGTCCACTTTCAAAATTGTCACTTGCCTAACCTCGCCGACTAATACTATGCCATCAACAAAGAACATACACCATGAGCCTTCATCATTACTGACAAGTTCATTATCACCCGTTCCCTGTTTTCTCATTTGTTTTCTCATTTAGTTTTCTGAATGTTGGAAATTCATTAGGATTCTTTTGAATTCATCTCCTTTGATTCTTTTTAAATATAGGAAGATTTAACATTTTCAGTGGATGAACCTTGGGGTTTCATCAAGTAATGTAGCCACCTTTCATCACACGAAATCCTGCACAACTTCTATAATTAAGCCGCTTGCATAAGAGTGAGGGCTTGCTTTCACGGCCTCCACTGAACCACTAAAGTTTACATCTGTTACCAATCTAACATACTTTGCCCAATCTATCCTATATACATATTTATACAAATTATTTTTCATTCAATCCTCCTAATTTCAAGCCATTTCCAGCCTTAACTGCTGGGCAACTGATATACCCGCCAGAGTGCTTTAACTGGGTTGTTTGGTTGATATGAATAGAGCATCAATAGCAAATACGGCAATTAAATTTGTATATTCCATGTTTAGTCAGCAACAAGGTAGTTGGAATGGTAAGTGATGATTTTCATTTTCTACAAAAAGCTCCAGCAACTCAGCTGATTTGACCGCATCAAATGCTAAAAACCCTTGCATTGATTAAAGAAAGAAAAAATAATGACATATCATCAAGTTAGGGCATTCCAATCTAGAAAATAGATAATTTCATGATTCCATATACACAGACATTTAAGGATAAATGCATTACCTGTAACAAAAAATTCAAACCTAACACCTGTTACAACTAACCAAACACTAGATATGAATTGGGAAATACGTTTCTTACAATAAAAATGTGGATTCCAACAATGAATTTGAACTTATCGTTAAATGTTTCACACAACAAACGTTTCATGCAACATTTTGCAGGAAATATTTGTTGCCTTAATAATTGTAGTATGCCAAATAACCGCTTTAGACACCACTTGTCATCAAAGTTCAAAAACACAAAACAGAGTGGCAGCCTAGGTAGCACGGACATGGACACAGATATGGATATAGATACGGGACACGGCAAATTAGTCAAACGTAGGATATGGGGACACGGTATATAATACACATATGATCAAATATTTAACATTTGTATGTTTCTTTCTATTATCTATAACAATTAAGTATCAAGTTAAATCAAACCAAGAATAAGATTCAACAACAAAAAGTTTAGTTTTGACCGCATGTGATAATACAATTGGTATTTTTCAAATATTTAAATAATGAGTTTTAGTTTTCGGTTAAAAAACAATTGGTTTTGAACCTGATATTACCGCAGAAACTAGTTTAGCATATAAGCAATGGGGAAATCGGGTTTTTCTTTGAATCACAAGTGTCCATGGAGTGTCCGCAGAGAGTTGGTGTCGGACGTGTCGGACATGGACACGGCACCCAAAACGAAGTGTCCATGTTACCTAGGTGGCAACAACATGAAACTGATGAAGGTTGAAAATGATGGTCAGCATATTCTGAAGATCCCACAGGTTGAAAATGCTAACCATGAAATATAAATAGGGTTAAATTTATTCATATGCATCCATTATCCTAATAGGAGTGGGCTGCAATCGCAAAAAGAAAATAGAGTTGAGGTGTTATCAATGTATTGTACCTAGTTAACTTCAAGTTGTACCAGTCCATAATGGTTACCGGCACAAGCAAAGAGCAAGACGATTAGATTCTGTTTGGAAAAGTAATGAAAACATTAAATCCACTTCTGAATGGCAGAAGATATTGTGGCATCATTCACCTCAAGGACTCAGTGATTTGGTTAAGGTCATTGATATGTAGAACTATAGTATAGAAATACAAAAGACGCAATCTTCAAGTTCTTCATCAACAAATATTACAGAATACTAACTTTAACTATATACCTGTTCAAAATCACTTTAAATTTACCAAAAGAAACAACCAAAGTGCTCAGAGTTTGAAGATTTTCTTTATATTGTAAAATTAATTTAACCCCTACAGTTTCAGACCAAAGGAATATCCTCGCGAAGTTTACAGAACCAGGCAGATGTTCCAGCCAAGTCCATCCAATGAAACCTAGATCATAAGTTGGATTGCAACTTGTAATATTTCCATTTCCAGAAAATCTAGATGAAAATCTTAATGAAGTTTAAAGTTAGCAGGTAATTACACAATTAAACATGCTAGAAATGTCAGAGCAAAATAATTTACTGCAAAAAACAAACCTTTGAGTCAAACTCTTGAACATCTTTCACTAACTTGAAACATAAGCCCCAACACATTGGTAAAAGATCATAAAAATCTTGTTCAGAGAAGTTAGAATCCTGGATGAGATAGCATAGAGATCGACATGCAGCCAGCTGAAAAGATAATTAATCACGTCATATATAGTGTCATATAAACCTTTTAATGTCGTATATGTGCAAGCATGAGCACACATGAGCACATGTGTGTGAAGCATGCACATAACATCTTTCATATAGTGGAGCTTAATATTGGTGCAGTAGTCAATCCAGATGCAATAATAGTTACAGCTTCGTAAAAAGAAGAGATTAGAGAGCATACTCTAACAGCTATGTCATTATCCTGAAGCAATCTGATTAAGGCATGATAAACTAGCTTTCTGGTATCCCCTTTGATCTGTTTAAAGGATATATCAATCATAAACAAAATAAAACAGGCACCATACACAAAAAAGATATATGAAAAATTCCATATCAACCATAGCTATCCGTAAACAAAGTTATTCAACAATAGATAATACCATGTTAAACTGAAAGTATGCACTGTGATTTCAACATTGTCCTAAAAGAGAATTCGTATTGCAAACTAGAATCAGGGCCAGGTATAGCAACTATAGTTCCAGTCTTCCAGAAGTGAAGAACAAAGGGAGAAACAAGAAGCCATTTTATAACATAACCTACATATTGAGGTTAGTTAATACATGCACAAAACAGACACAGTTTGCTGATTACATATCCAGGCAAAGATGATACAGCTTCATACGTTTCAATTCCATGTAATTACCATCCTATAAGCTAAATTATATATCAGATGTTACACCTTAGATGGATCACAGTCCTACTCAAGAAACTTAAAATTCAGTAAACTATAAAGAAAAGGCAAGTCATGCTGAGAACACATCCTCAAGGTGGATGGAAGCATTCAAATATCAAAAGATTCTTTTCGAGTTAAAATACCAAAAGGCGAAAGCATGCTGAAAGCTGATATAAAAATTTATAACAAGTTAACTACGATGTAGCAGCAGTTAGCAAACAAATTTATGTTCAAGGGTCATGAGAACATAAACTATGTACACTTCGATTAATTCAACAACTTAAATAGATTATAAAAAACCTATATGAGAATGCAAAAATTACTTATGCAATACTCCTTGGAATAAAGAGTAAAGGCAAATAACAGGGGGAAAGAAATCAACATCCATTATAAAGACCGAACCTCAGAAACCCATTGGCCAAGTACCAATGCAATTTTTCTATGAAGAATGCGCATATTTGGTTGTTCATTTGAGAGCTCCTGAGTCAAGGAACTACGAAACCTGCACATAATAGTAAAAGAGAAAAGAGTCATCAGCAATATCAAAAAATATTAAGTTTAATGATAGACATCATATAAAAGGGTCAAACATTTGACAAAGGAAGCATTAAGAATCCATAGTAAACTTAAGCTAACAATAAGCTTGATTTTCTTCCAATCTGTGCATAAATTTGTTCATGAAATTTTGCATGTTCGAGAGAGATACACTTGAGTCATCTCATTTGGCTAATAATAAGCTTGAAGAAAGCAAAAAATCTGAATAAAAAAGGAAAATTACCATTCACTAAAGTTCAGGTAGTTTGAAAGCTCATAATACACATGACCAGCAGCACTATAAGCAGCATCTTTAAGAAGCATTCCGGGGGTTATTTCACTTTCCACAGGAGGAGAACCCCGCATTGCCTCATGAAGAATTGAAACAACTACAGGAGCAAGCACCTAAAAATATTTGTGCAGAGGTTACTTGATGAATGTATAAGTTACAGTAGGACATTAGAAGGTGTACTGACATTTCTATTATTCTCAAACAGCACAATATATAGAGCTTCAGCACAAGGCCTCAGTTTTTCTGTCCACTGAATCATGTCCTGTTCATGGTGAAAAGATTCTGGGTTCTGGTGCCATTCATCCAAATCTTTCCCCGTATAAATGAAATACCTGAGAAATGATAAGCAGATAATGGGTAAATGAGTTGCTTGCCAACCATTAAAGGACCCAAATTAAGCAACCCTTTAACAATCAAACATTACATTAGTATACTTTATACAAACTACAAGGAAGTATTCTATGTTTTTAATGCTTCTCGAGGATTCATAGACTCATATACGGAAAATATTAAAAGTAGAATGGACCATTTTCTTTGAACAAGACAAAGTCAACTACTTGGAGTTCAACTAGCATCTCCTTAGTGATGATTACAGGAATCCAGGAAGCAATAAAATAATGTTTATATAAATTACAAAACTTGCAAATCACAGCAGTTCTGTAAATCTCATTGTCCCACAATGAAAGGAGATTTGAGAGGCAAAGAAACTTAACTCTTAATAAATAAACTGCAAATCTAGATCTCAAACACAGCGCCTGTAACATTTATCCACAGGTCATATGTCACCAAGTTCTCATTCTTTGGGTCTACAAGTTCCGCTGTACACTAACTGCCAGCTAGAACAGTCCTCTAAACTTAGAGAAGTAATCACCAGCAATGTCTGACATTCTATCTAAAGATGCCAACAGCACAGCTTAAAAGCTGTAGGGGTTTACGAATATACAGTGAAAAAGAAATAATAATTATAACCAGGTATACGGATTCTAGAATGTCCAACAAACAGAAGATACAATTTGTAGATATCGATACGGGCACAGCACTGTGCCACGTACATGGGTTTATATGCGCGTTTCTCTATATTTTCTATTGTTGCTCATATCTAAAAATATCCTATAAGGGTAAATATATAAAATTATTAGTGTTTTCCAAATGGTGATAATATATATATGCTCGATCTAAATAAGTTGTATACTTTTTGGGAGCAACATACATGGACGCACACGTCATATCCAAGACGGATGAACAGTCCAATTTTTGGTTGGGAGGTGTACCAGAGTCTGAAAAGTGACTCAGATATGTTTGAGTCGCTTTTTTAGATATGAGCATTCACCTCTATATGTTTGAGTCACTTTTTATTTGTCTTCCAAATGAGCACCATATCTTGAGCATTCACCTCTACATGATGCGGAAAAAAGGTAATTGTTAAGTCTATGTTGCAATTTCAACAGAAAGAAACTTCCTATTCTATTGGTGGAGGTAAGGTCCGGCAATGAAAAATAATAATAGCAGCAACAACAACAACAACATTTCAGAGATATACTTGATAACAATCTGAAATGTCTGGATGAGGCCTATTAGAGTAATCCCTACTAGACTACTACCTACAATAATAGTGTTGTGACATGTGAACATTATTTCAAAAGTTGCTGCCTAGTCTTAGGGTTTTACTTTCAGGCATTTAGCCGCATGAGTAATATAGCTGATCAACCATTTTCATAACACTCTACCAAATCCAGGGCTAAAAGGATCCCTTACATAGCCATATAAAAACAAATATGAGTATCAGTGTATCACCCAGATCTTGCTCGTGAGGGTTTAGAATCTACTACAAATTTTATGGAAATATTGGTGAATCTGAAGATGAAGACTGTCTACTTGTTATCCTCCTCTATTTTCCACCTCTTTTCTTTGTTTTTCTGGACAGCCGTAGATAGCCCTCACGACTTTGCTGAAACTTCATTTTCATCCACAAATTATATCCATGAGGCAGCAGAGAGGCAGCTGACCGTGAGGAAAAAGAATGATTGCCCCCTCCTTAGTTGGTGATAGATGTAGACTGCAGAGGTTGTTCTGCTTCGTGAGATGAAAGGTAGGTTACTTCCTTTGTTGTCTTCTCCAATCTACACTGCCTTCAGCCTCTTCTTGTTCCAATCAGCACAGTGATTGGATGACCATAAAACCACATAGTCTTGTAACCTTGCAACCTAACCTCTAACTAAGAAGGGAGATGGGAGGGGAAATTTTAACTAAACAAAAAAGGGGAAGATAACATTGCTGCTATAAATCTATTGATGGTTGCGTTTATGGAGATGGAGGAAGATGGGTCATATATATTCACTAATAGAAGAGGGTTGGGATCATGGAGATGGAGGAAGATGAGTCATATATATTCACTAATAGAAGAGCGAGAGAGAAATAATCACTGGGTGAAAGTTCGCAATTGCGGGTAGCAAGTTAAGAACCTAAGCGATTAGAAAATAGAAGTCCTTCACGCTTTGCAGATGACTAAAGAAGAACTCTTAGCAAACCACCCCATAATGTTAGGAATTTATAATAAAAAATCAGATTGTTAACACTTATATGATATTAGACTTTTTAGGAGCTTTGTCCGAGAAGCCAATAATGACTTGTTCTGCCAAGGATAAAACTGAGATTTGTTATGATACCTCCTGGAACTGTGACCACTGTTATTAAGTATGACCCCTTAAAAAGACAAGCAAATACTGGAAAAAACCCTTAGCAAGCTTTAATTAAAAGCAGGAAAGAAAATTGTCATGGAGAAATGAAGTCCCTAGAACATTTAGCCAGCAATTTACCTTTTTATCAAAATGTTGCATAGCAAAACAACACGCTCAGTGGGCAAAATAGATGCAAGCATGCCAGCAACTACTGTGGAAATATTTTTCTTCCTCTGCTCTAATGTGTCCCCACCTTCATTAATCACACGGCCTGTAAGTTTAGGTTTATACTCTTTACATTCCAAGATAGATTTCACCAGAACCATGCACTGAATCAGAAATTGCTCAAAAGAAGTCAATGACGGTTCAGGATTTATGATCTTATTTAAGCAAAAGTCCATTATTGCTGGGAGAACACTTTTGTTGCCAAATGAATAGGGATGTCTGCACTGTATTGAAACTAAAACCTTCATCAACTTAATGCATGCTCTCTGTGTGAAGTCCCAAAATTCGATCTGTCTCCCCATGAATGAAGTGTCTGCAATAGTCAGAAAAAGTTGATTAAGCAGGAGTTTATTAAAAAAAATATTTTTTTAATGTCATTCGGTTAAACAACAAAATGTACTTGCTGTTTTGCTCTCGAGTATCATAGAACAAATAGATGAAATGCCTGGAGAGAACCATATATTGTCAACATGCAGAGATGAGAAAAGAAAAGGCCAATAATATTCACTGGTCGGATTATCCAACACAATGAATAGATTGTTCAAAGTTTATTTCAGAAAGAAGATCTCTATTTACTCTAGACAAGAATTAGAGAAACAAACAAAAAATACTTAGGCAAAATAAAGACATGTAGAAATAGTTGATTATTCAAAACATGTGAGCAGAAAATTGAAATACTTGACTTGATTACTCAACCAAAAAGACAAGGGGAATGTTACTGCATTTCATAAAATCTCTGTCTTGTTTGCGGTAAAAAAGCTTCATTAAAAGCAATCAGCAAGATTGGAACACAACGAGTTGTAAAGTAGAATAAAATTTGCATATTTGTTGGGCACTTCTCTAACATGCTCTCAAACTGACGGAAAGAGTCCTGAACTTTACAATGTGCTTTTATCTTGAATATCTTTCTACACTTCTCAGATGCGCGTGCAATTTTGGTACTTGCCAGACACTCAGTATATGAATTAAAATCTTAAGAGTAAGCATTTTCTCATCAACTCGTCTCTCACACTAAATTATAATGTTGAGAAAATACTACAGAATAACAGACAAAATGTGAGAAACATCAAGCTCTTCCACAGAATGATAAAAAAGAATAAGAAATGAACACATTCCTACGTAATTAATATAACAAAAGTGTCTGCATTGCCATAAGGGAGAAATTTGGGGGTATTCAAGTGAAGAAGGTTGAAAAAGAGGGTTTAAAGTGGATGCTTTGTTTATGTTCTAAACTACAAAAAGGTAAGCATGAACAACAGAACCAGCTAAAAAATTGTGACACCATCTTAACATGTTATTACCATTCATGTGAAGAGATAACCGCCTGAACAACAGAGAACTAACAGTTATTTGCAATGTTCTAAATATCGGATGTCGGTGATATGTTGGACAGACAAATTTCATAGACCATGGTGAAAATCGGGGAGGTATCGAGACATTTGACAAATACTGGTCTCTCATATCAGATAATTTCTATAAAAATATCGTAGATGTTTATACTTGGTGCACCAAGACTTGAGCTACAGAGAAAGATGATATCTTTTGCAAAGAATTTGGTCTCAATTAAGCTGTAATTCTTCTTCTCGATTGTTTACAACTTTAGATAAGCAAATATTTGTTTGGGTTTAGATCTCAATTGAACCATAAACCCAAACAATTTTTTTAAAACAAATAAAAGTCCAAATCAGCATTGTAACATTTCAACCGATTTTTAAGGATGATATGTCGCCTGATATACACTAAAAAATTGCTAAAAAGTGGTAAAGCATATCGAGACCCTGTCATTTTGCAACAAGACTTGTAAGAGGATATATCAGCCTATGTATCACATATATCAAGGATATTTAAAACAATGGTTATGTGTTGTTTAATTTCATACAGTTGTGAATTAAAATCACATTCCAAATTGGACCTGACTCCTAACTATATCATAGTTGGAAGATACAATGATATTTTAAAGTTAATCCTCATATACCTACAAGTAAATGCCTAGACAATGCTGTATGTGCTACCAGGTGAAAGAATAGCCCAAAACAATACCTTGTGACAGGTCATGAAAGGAGAATATTATGGTGGAACTTAATCTATGTTTACACCCTATTTCTCCATCCAAAACATTATTAAGGGCCATCTCTGAATATTTCTCCTTTCATGTAGAGTAAAAAAACAAAAAACAAAAATAAAAAAACTGTCCATATACAGATTTCCTTGGTCAAGAGACCAACATGAATATTTTCAGAGAAAAAAGCAAAAATACAATGAAGAAGGAACAGAACTTCTCAAATACTTGGTCGAACATATATTTTCAGAAAGAAAAAAGAAAGAAAAGAAACAATGGAGATTAGACCAAACTTCTGAAACCCTTAAAGGGCCTAGAGGCTCAGAATTATTAGGTTAGTCAACACTGTGCTATCATAATAAAAGAGCTACCCTGATTTAAAGGAGCAAATATTTCAAGTCTGTTTGTTCAAAATTTAGAAGAGACGATATCCGCATCTACCAAAAAGTACACATATAATCTAAATCATCCACCAGAAAACAGAATGTTGAGCTCATTTATGATTACTTAGTAATGAAAGAAACATCTCATAAAACAATTCAACTAAAAGATTTGGAATTAATGAGAAGCATAATCTACTTTAAAGTGAGAAGTGGATGTAGAATTGTTAACCAAATTACTATAAAAATCTCATGTGTTCTTTTTGGTTGGTTTTTAATTTAGTTGTTCGCTTTTATTTGTCGACATTTCCGCAGCATATTCTGTCCTCTAGCGAAAAACTGCAACAAACCTATTCACCAACCCCCCACCCCCCACCCACCCCACTCTAGGCTTGCATCTCAGATCCAACAGTTTGCGATTTGTGGATGGGGAAAAAAGGGAGATTTATAGGGATTATGGGAGGTTATACTCTGTGGGAAGTTACAAGCTGAAGTAGCATGAGCTTGGCTATAATGGTACTACAGACAAAATAGCATTTTCCAGCAAAATAGACATAACATGATTAAAGGATGACGTTCACAAGTAACTTAAAAAGCTGGACCAAAAGAAGAATCTTACAATATGGAAGAAATGATTGGATAGCATTCAAGAGCACGGGAGAGACCTCCTTGACCTGCCTAACCTCCTTCTAGAAGAAAATGAATTAAGAAAAATAAGTTCATAAAAATTAAGAGGATGTAAATTAAATGATGGAAAAGAAAAGTATATTTATCGACACTCAGCATCATAATAGCTACCTCAGCAGATGTTACATCACTAGCGTAGCCCGATATAACTAATTGTCTGATAATCTTTGAACACAACAACCATCTTTCACATGTTAAAAACATATCATTCTGTTGCTCCACAATGGATGTGGAAGCAAGTTCTAGAGAAAGAGCAGCAAATCCCTGCAGTATGTTCTGCACATCTCTCTGCCAAAGGCTCCAAGTGTACTCGAACAAGAGTGAGGCTATCTGCAGCAAATGACAGAAACTCATTTTTATCACAGCGGTCATTATTGTAAAATATTGATCTTCAAAACAATAATTCACCTTCAAGAGAGAACTATCAAGGTACAACAGCTTGAACTGCAGTATAATCAATAAACTGGCACTGCCACTATCTGGAACATTTTTATGATAATGGAATTAAGCATAAGCAGGAAGCTATCCAGTGAGTGCAATTCCGATTTTAATGTGAAATATATCTAAGATATTAGGTCAGATCATTAAGTCTGTCTAAACGAAGGGTTTCCAAATGTAAGTTGCAAGAGGCTTGTGCTGGCAAGAGAAAGTAATAAGTAATTGAGCTGAAAGTCCACATTGCAAGAAAACAAAAATAACAAACCAGAAAGTGTAGTGCTCCGATCCACAAACTGCATTTATACAACTCGGTGACAATGTGGAGGCACCCATCAGTATCTGCTTAGCAGCAACCAAAACTCAGGAAAGGCAACCTACTATGCATATTAAAACTCATACACCACAACAGAGGTAGTGACACAATCTTCTTAACCAAGCACGAACAGGTGCATGTATAGCTCATAATTATGGAATGCTAAGATGCACTAAGGTTAAAAGCTATGTTGCAAAATCATGGAAACAAGTTACCGAAACCAGTCTACCTTCCTTTACAATGTCCGCCTGAAATTCCTTAGTAAAGTTGCGGCTTCATCCCAAAAAAGAAAAAAAAATCCATATTAGCCAACTCTCATTATGAGGAGAATAGGGTTTTGGTTGGATAACATTGGCCAGTTTAGTTGAACTCCCAAGTCCCAACTCCTCTCCCACGAAAAGGACCACGGCAACACCACTGAGCAAGGGCAATAAGGAGATTGCTGCAAAGATGACTACCCGAGTAAAAATATCCTCCTTGTCTATTTTCTAAGATTCTTTCACCAATTTTTCATTCTCCATATCTTACAACCATGGTTACCCATAGGCTGTCACCAGCCCATATATCCAGATATAGCCTATGGTAAAGTGCAGTGGCAGCATTACACGTGCAGCCATGTATTATATATCTAATGGGTATGAGGTGGCGGCTCATTTAGTAAAATGAGCTACCAAGAGATAGCCATTGGGCGAGGCCCACCCTACTTGTCACATTAAAAGGTGTGGGTCTCACCAATCTATCTCTTAGTAGCTCATTTTGCTAAATGAGCCACCACCTTATACCCATCAAACCTATATATATGTGTGTGTGTATGTGTATGTGTGTATACATATACATGTGTGTGCGCGTATAGATATATGTACATGTGTGTATATATATGTGTGTGTGTGTATTTATATATATGTAAACATATATATACATATGCGTGTGCGTGTGTTTGTATATTTGTGTGTGTGTATACATATATAGATACACATACATACACATAGACACACACATATATATAGTTATATACACATATAATATACATATACATATATATGTATATATATGTATACATATATAAATATGGGGAATTCATGACTGGTTGTAAAGGGGACGTCGTCAGCCACCTTCTATTCTATGTAAAGTGCTCCTATGGCAAAGTGTCTTCAAAGGGGATTCTTTTGTCTGTTGCAACTAAGAGGCCTGCTTTGTCTTGCTCTCCTCTCCTACACCGGCTTTTTTGCCTGCCTCTTTACAGATGGGATCTCTCATGCTTAGCAGCCCCCGGCTACGCACTATGAACAAATTCGCTTATAAGGCCATACACACACACGCACATACATACACAAACACACACACAAACACACAGACACACACACATACATACATACATGTTATACAATCAAACATAAGTTTATTGAAAATTTGTGTTTTAAATATGAGGTCTACAATCATCAATGACTTTGGTTTGCATGATTGCAAGCATTTGGCACTTTTAGATGGAGGAGATTAGATTTCATGACAAGCAGTTCTACAATGCCCTAAGCGATTATCTCACATGGGATAGGCACAATAATGTTCTCTATTATATAATAATTCCTTAAGGTGGGTTTAGTCAATTAGAACTAGACTTTAGAATAGGGATAATTTGTGGGATAAAAATTTTCAAGTGATATTCAATTGGAGCTATAAAATTTAGAACTTGAATAGTCTTTTAAATTATTCCACATATTATCCTACCTTTTGAGTTGAGAACCAGATATGAATTTAATGGAACTCCGTCTCAAACGATTTTATGTTTCGCCTTCCTTTTCTCTTCTCCGTCGTTCCTTCCTTTTCTCTTCTCCGTCGTTTCTTCCGCAGACGACCGTAGTTATCACAATTTCGACGTCATTATATCGGAGCATCTCCCTAGATCCATTAATATGTCTCTCTTTTACTATTGATTAGTTTTTTTACTAAGCATCGAAGAATCTCAAAGCATCCCTCCTTTCTCCTTTGCTAATTTTTGGTGGATTATAAGCCATAAGGTCTAGCTGCCTAAAAGACAGACAAACCCTTCATGATTTCACAAAGTTCACAGTCCCATATATACCCCTAGTCATTAGAGTTGTCTCCTTTTTGGTCATTTTGATAACAATTGTGGCTTATAATCCACCCATTTGTCCAACATCTACTAATGGAAATGGATTATAATCCATTAAATTTATCAAACAATCTCAAATACTTCATATGGATTATAATCTACTTGGATTATAATTCAAAGTTGTCAAGCATACTCTTAAGGCTTTAAGGGAGAGAGTGAGATTAGATCGACTCACTGCCCTTTCTAGTTATAGCTCGAGTCCACATGAATATGATTGTTAGGTTGCCTCTACAATTGCTTCTTTTCTTACTTTTATTCTTTATTATCCTTGCATTTACAGAACTTATTCATGTTACTTTCCAAGTAAGAATAGAAAAGCTAACTTTCTATGATATTCATTTTAAAAAATATTAAAACATGAAAATTTTCAAGAATTTACTGACTAGCTAGATATTTTGCAGAAAATTTCAACTTAGTATCTTAGTCATTCATTTCACAAGATTCTCAATAATAATATTGTTACAATCTAACAAATAACTTTGCAAGGTTCATTAATATTGTATAAAACAATTATTAATAAATAATTGTATGTTTAGAGAGTGTATATATATATATGTGTGTGTGTGTATATAATATATATATATATATATATATATATATATATATTATATATATATAATATAATATGTAGATAATCAAGAAGTATATAACTAATGTATTTTTGACGATATGATACATATATATATATATATATATATATATTATATATATATATATATATAGTATATATATATATATTATATATATATATATAATGTAGGATAATCAAGAAGTATATTAACTAATGTATATTGTTGACGATATATATATATATATATATATATATATATATATTAATATATATATATATATATAATATATATATATATCGTCAAAATACATTAGGTTATATACTTCTTGATTATCCTACATTATATATATATATATTATATATATATATGATATATATTATATAATATATATATATATATAGTAATATATATATATATATATATATATATATATATATATATATATATATAAATGTAGATAATCAAAGATATATAGACTAATGTATTTGACGATATGCATATATATATAATATAGTATATATATATATGATAGATTAATGGGTATCATATGTCATATGAGAGGATTCTCTCATATACAATGATGTGGCACAATCTCTCACCAAATGTATTATGAGGCATTCTCTCTTTCTATTTATTCACTGGTGGAGATTGTGCCACATCATTGTATATGAGGGAATCCTCTCATATGACATATGATACCCATGTAATCTCATATAATATAGTATATATATATATATATATATTATATATATATATATATATATATTATATATATATTATATATATATAATGTAGGATAATAAGAAGTATATATATATAATGTAGGATAATCAAGAAGTATATTATATATATTATATAACTTCTTGATTATCCTACATTATATATATATATATATATATATATATATATATATATTATATATATATATAATGACTATTATATATATATATAATGTAGGATAATCAAGAAAGTAATATATATAATATATATATATATATATATATAATGTAGGATAATCAAGAAGTATATATATATATATATATATATAATATAAGTATATATATATATAATATATATATATATATTATGATAATTATATATATATATATGAAGAATGCACATATCGTCAAAATACATTAGTTATATACTTCTTGATTATCCTACATTATTTTACCAAAAATTCCACTTGTCAAAATTATCCACCACTTTCCATTAAATATCCTAGTTCAAAAAAATTATCCTTCTCCAGTTGTTCTGCAACAAGTAACCACAGCTAAGATTTTTTAGAGACAAATCACAAAATTTTGTCGTTAAGAAAGCTTGGGTAGAAGAAATTTCAGAATGGATGACCTAAAAAGTTCTTGATCAATGTATAGCAAAAGGTAATAGAGCCTTACATTAGCTGAAAGCATGTCGAATTATGTCACATATGAAGCTAAATGCTTCTAGAAGTAAACCTGCCATGCCAGGTAGATATAGTGGGGGCTGCAATCACAACAATATAAGGCATTTGTTTCTTCTCTATCCCATCTTTCAGTACAAAATCGGAAATCCTCCATTTCTCCTCTGATCTCATTCTTTACAATCCAGGCATCTTATTTAGAGTACTTGTCACTAAAGTTGAAACTGTTTATTCCTCCACCATCACACACTTATCATTAGGTGTATTTTATGTTATGATACTTGCAAGGTTTTAAATATCGGTTATCGGGGATTTATTGGACAGTCAAAATCCATATCGGATAGTGGATATCGGGATATATCGGGGATAAGAAGTATTTATCGAACTGACACTACTGGATGGTGATATACATAATATAATATTCTAAACTGTAATTTAACCATATTTAATAAAATATAAACATACCAAAATGTAAATAATTATGTTTAGGATCATTAACCAATGGTAGAAACTCGGGTCAGTTCGGGTTTAAAGTGCATTGAATAGGTGCCTATTGCCCCAATCTAAACTCAAACCAAAGGTCGATAATTCCAATTTTGGGCAAACAATATCGGCCAATAACTGAGTTTATCGCCGCATTATTGGCGATAAACATCCAAAAACAATGAGCGATTTAGAATCGAACTTATCATTGCAGACGGCCCCCAAAACCGATAAATCGCTTATAATTGGTTTATCAGCCGATATCTAAAACATTGGATACTCATCACTGAACTCTAGCAGATGATTTTAACTACTTGACTTTGGGCACCAACTTAAGGGCTAGATGAGGTACCACAAAACAAATCAATTCTAACTAAATAGCAAACAAAGCTTAACAGATCAACTGCTGCAAAGGAGCTAAACTTAACATTTGAACTTCGACTCCACCTTTTCCAATGGTGTATAAGAATAGTAAGAAATAAGCAATAAATCACAATTTACATAAAGATTCAACTTGTACAAATTTCTGCATAGAGCACTACATTTTTTGGATCTGCACTTTAAGCACCTGTTATCAAAATAAAGCAGACACTTTTCACGAAAAAGGTACACAGACACTTTTCACGAAAAAGGTACACACTACTCTACGCTAACCACTCTCACCACTCCATGGTAACCGCTGTAAAGAATTTCCTAGCAAAGATTCACAACATAAAAAGTGTTATTCTTGATAAGATCAAGTAGCTAATAAAATATATCAAATCAGTCTTCTGCAGGGACTGAGCATTTAAGATATGTAGCAAAGCATCATTTACGCAATTAAAGGAGTTAGCACACATGAAGCAAGAAACGGCCAAAACTTTTGGCACCAGCAGAGATCGATCAGTAAGCCAAACGAACTCAATAAAGGAATAAATTTCCATCCCATGTGATAAGTCATAAGCCCGTGAAGATATGCTTCATCTTATCTATGTGCATGTGTATGTAACAAAATATTGCATTATTAAGTTTCTGCAGAAGAGAATACCTCTGAAAAGTTTCTTTGGTCGGAGCTAAGACGTTTTGTTGACAACTCCTTTAGAGATCGAAATAGAACCATAAAAACTCTATGAGAAGCAAGCATATCAGCGGTCTGAAGCTGCTGAGCCAATATGGAAAATAGCTCTGGCCTAAACACAATAGAAAGCAAACCCAATAAAACCTATGCTCAATTACAATACTTCAATATCTTATAACAGATAGAAAATGTTATTGAATATTATGTGTAACGGTCCATAAATACCCTCTTAACTAAGAGCATAAATTTAGATGAATAGCACAAGGGGTAGATTGATATATTCAAGCTATGAATGAGATTCCTAACGATACAAGGAATTTAAGAGATCAATTCCATACAAGCAACTGCAAAATATTATAAATTGTAAATACATGGTGAACAATCAATGGATTGTTTAGGTATATTGTTCAGAAGAAAAAAGAACTAATGTTGAATGCATGTAGCTGAAATTTTACGAAGCACGGACATGGACACATCAGCATGACATTGCATGACAAGAAAAACCAACAATATATTCTGGAAGATGCATAAATTCTTAGAGGAATTATACACGAAACTCCAAAATGTTATAAATTCTCAATGCAAGGTGAATAATCAGATTTATAGATAACATATATTGTTGGACTAAAAAAAAATTGATGTCCAATCCGTGTAGTTAAAATTCTAAGCACAAACATGGACGCATCGACATGATATGGGATGAAAAGAAAACCAACAACAAATATTAAAAGATCAATACAAACAATATATACAAAACAATAAGGCTTCATAACAAAACGTATATGCTTAAAAAAGTCGAATGAAATGACTAGGTGATGGATAGAGTTTCTCTTTCTTGATGATCGGTTCCAGTGATAATTTTTCTCCCTGATTGTTGATTCTAACTAGGATGCACTCATTAATCTGACTCCACACACCATCAAAAAAATCTGCATATGGGGTTTGAATATCGGACCCAACTATGAGTCGAGAGAACACAACACACACGCGCACACACGCACACACGGAGACTCCTTTAATTTTCCGAAACCCATCAGTTAAGCCCCTCGGAGGGTAGTGACCTTCTGGATAACTACAAAGGCACCTTGTCAATGCTCTCAGATTTAAGCCCGTTCCACTAAAAAACAACTAGAGTTGAACAATCTCCAAACGTTAGGACATTTTGTGGCTCCACAAAGTTGCTTTCACACCTTTTTCAAGTTAGAAAGCTCAGCCAATGCCCTGAAGAAGAGCAGTGCATTCAACAAATTCTCAAAAAGAAGCAAGCCATGTTCTCCACTCTTGAAACAGAGACATGCTCTATCATCAGATATCTTGTGCCTCAAAAGTATATTTAAGTTAAAGCATTCTTACATTACTTACTAATTAGCTCAATTGCTTTGTTCTGAGTCACTCCATTTTTTTGAATTAAAAATCAAGACAATGTCCCTCCAAATATCAACTCCTAGTGAGTATTTCATCATCACTGTCAACGCCCCGAATGGAACTTTGGAAAGACCTTTATTTTGATGTCAAACTATTTGTTTAGATGTATTTAATTCGCAAAAATGGGGGCCATGGAAGTCAAATTACTTCTGATAAAAGGTTAAGCAATTACACGAGCCTTCAATATTTTAGCTTAATAGGTATTTTACTTCGATGCAATGTTGATAATACCATTCCATATCCTGCTCAAGCTAAAGTGTATTCCACGAGATGCCTGAGTCCGTGCAATGAAATTTATTTCCCTGGAATACATAAGTGTAACTCAAGTCAAAACTAAGTCCTGTAGGCATAGGCTATTCTGAGCTAACCATAAAATCTAGGTGAGAATCCTCTAGGTTTGTTGAGCACGTGCAATAATATTTTCGCAGAAAGATCATGTAGTAGTTCAAACCTACTGTGTATGGCAGATTAGGTTATGAAAATCATTATCAAATTTCAGGAACATTATTGACCTGTGAAACCCTAGTTGAATTGATCGATTTGTGTGAAAAAATCCTGAATTACTTAGCTCAGACATTTGTAGCATTCCACCCCAGATGAGGAGAGGTCATATCGGAATATCAGGTTGACTTGCCAGCAAATAGTCATTCAGTTATCATCAGGAAGCTTCCTTAAATGAATTAGTGCATAGACCAGGTATTGTCATAAATATATGGCTTAGAAATGTTTACTGCCAAACAGATATAACATAATTATATTCTAGCAAAATGAACAGGAACAACCAGCTTATTTGTGTCTCTTGATTTACCAAACATCTCTCAAAAGTAGACAATTAAAACAAGAGAAAAGTTGCTATTCCTTCATTCTCTAGTTTGTTCACACCATAAAGAATTTAGTTCTGCAAATAAAAGCATGTCATGGGAAAGGAGAAAATTTTAAGCCTTTTATTCTTAACTTGACAGGAGTTTTTTTCATTTTAGCTGCAAGGAACATGTTATGACACATGAGCTATTAAAGTCGGGTAAGTTGACAACAAGTTCACCACATGAAGTCCATGAACTGGACCACAATTCTGCAAGCATGGAAATAAAGACATGAAGGTGTTTACACAACATTTACTTCCACCAATCAGGAACAGACAACTACATAGCGGATACCATAAAGTATATCAGAACTAGCGAAAAAGCATGTTACTTACTAATTTTCATGATTAAAACTACTGTATTAATTTACTACTATAAAATCTTGTAAGAAGACCAATAAGAACCTACCATTCTTTTGGATAATCTATGCGTGCAATTTTTGAGATAAGAACAGCAAGCTGGAGCGCTATCTGATGACAAAAAGTAGAGAAAATAAAGTTTTAGCATGACTACAGACGCACAAAGAAAGGAAAAAAAATAGAGGCCTTGATGATGATGACAACACATGAAAATAACTAGTAACAAGATTTACTGAATATTGTACATTCACTATCTTGGATTATCAAACGAGAAAGAGAAAACTATTTTGCATAATTTAAGCATCTGTACATAAATAAATTGACCTGTTAAAGCAATATCAAGTCTTACCTGAGGATTCTCTTCTCGGATGTGTAACAACAGCTTTTTTCGAAGGTGAACCTTCTCATCATTGCTAATCCCTCTGCAAGGATTCAATGTACCTTCCAAATTAAACAACATCCACACAAGCAAGATTGAACTGAGCTAATATCGGCAATGAAAGTAAGAAAGAATTTCAGAGTTAGCCTTTAGGTGGAAGCATGACAAGGAATCTAAAAAACGAACATAAAACATAAATACATATCTTGCTTTCCATAGACATTGAACTTTACTCTTTCTTTTCTTGTCATGGGCATCCATTCCAGCTAATAATGTCAATACATATATTATACTTTACAAGATTGGACAGTAACCATAAGCAAGGGCACACTGGACCAACATTACCAAATTAAAAACCCTTGAGTCTTCCAATTAATGATATTTAAATATTTAATTTTAAATCAACCATAATGAAAACTATGTACATACTTTATAACTTCTCTAATCTCGTTAAGGTGGCCAAAAAGCTTTCCAACCATTTTGTTATTCCAGGGGGTGGACTCCTGCATTTCTAAAATTTAGCCTTCAAATTTATTAGATATCATGTAGTATTATGTATAGGAAATAAAGGATAGTAGAAGGATGTTGAGGGTCTTGACCAAAACAATCTTCTTCATTTTCAACTGCCCGACTCAATGCTTTTGGCTTTGGTGTATTTATTCCTTTTACACCATCAATCTTGAAATCACAGTCCTAAGAAGTACAAAGAAGCTCCGCTTATTAATGTTTTCATGCAACTTCTTACTAGAGTGCTTGTGTTGCCAAGTTTAAATTGGAATCACAAAGGTGCTATTCAAAATCCAGATGGATATTTTCTTACGGATCATAATGTTCGATCATAATGTCTTCGTTTCAGGTATCTCTTCTACATTTTGAAGCTACAGCAAGAGCCATACCTCTACTTTCCACATTTGTGTGTCACATCAAGGTCTCAAACACTAACAAAATTCTACAGGAGCTATGTTAAGGTCTTCACTCCATCACCACTAAATTAAGAATAAGCAATCAATATTCCTTTCACAGCCAATATAGTCTCCAAAGTCAAGCATAGTGTCCAAAGTCAAGCATGATCTACGTTGTAAATTGAGCACATTATCATCTGACACCTCCTATTTCCTCTTACCTGTATATTTGTTAGCATTGCTCACACTCTAGTGCTCTTATTTCATTACCTGCCCCAAATTCTCCCCTTTATGCAGCATATGCACTCTTTGATCACAATGCTAGACATATTCTGATGGGGATGAAGTAAATTTATAGTAATCCAACACTTGATCTGAGGATCATCTCCAAGTGAAGTTACAATCTTCATTACTTCTGAATGCTAGACATAATCTCTAATCTCACATTGTCACTTTCCAGCCCAGAAGTTTTCACTCTCCTAATTTTCCATTCACAACAAAGGGAAATCACATACATTTGCTCCCAAAGTGAGTAACACAATTTATTGTTCTGCACCATTGAATCAACAACGAGCATTCTTTTCATAATCTAATTGAGACAAAAAGCTCACTGAGAATCTCGTCGATGCCTCCAATATCGGCTACAAGCCGCATCCCTAACCGCTATAATCTCCTGCAATCACAATCCCCAATTGAGAAAAATACCAAAAATGGAAACAATCAAAGCCCTAGAAAGAGAGAGAGCGCGAGTACGAGGAGACAAGAGCAGAATCCAGGGCGATTCTCGCACTGGGCGAGCGCGGACTCCGCCGGCTTTCGGAGCGACTCGTCGGAGCTCAACGAGTTGGTGAGGAGAGAGTAGACGGTTTGAACGTCCGATGCCGACAACGCCATTGATCGATCGAGGTCGCAGAATGTTAAAGGATTGAGAGAGGGGATTCGATCGATGAAGGGGATTTCGAGAGGTTGTTGACGTTAAAGAATTTCTAGGGTTGCATTTTTCTTTTTCTCTTTTTTTTAAGAGAGAAATCTACTCGTCTCTATATTATAAATAAACATATAAATATAAAAAGTGTAACCCAACGATCACTATTCATACTGTCTGCAGTAATCCTCCTACACTTATATATACTTTATAAAAAACAGGATGCTATGGTGATTTTTAAAAGTAGTGCACGAGGATACTGTAGCACTTTTGAAAAAATTTGTCGCACAGGAGGGTCACTTTAGTAATTCAAAAATATTACTGTAGTATTTTAAAACCGGAATTACTGTAGTGTAGAAAAAAAAATATACTCTATATTGTGCTTTGCACGGTGTTCACACTAGTTGAAAGAAGAAGGAGAGACGGAGGCGTCGGATCGCAGATGGGTTTAAGTTCGAGTGATCTCACAGATGTTGTGACCCGAAAACGGGTTTCAGATCTCTCTTGAACAGCATTGGATCCGAATTCTCTTTTCTTAATTTGTGTTTCTTCTTGTTCTCCATATTATACTTGTTTCAAGCTTTTTTAAAATCTTAACTATTATAGTTCAAGCGCATTGCAAGTAAGTGCACTTGTTAAACAATAGAAGGAAGTTTTGAATGTAAATAATATGCTAATCTATAAATTTATAATTGATATACACACACATACATGTACATATATATTATGAGGTTTTACATATACCCATGAAATCCTGTGTATTTATAATATTACTCCCCAAATTATAAACTTTGTCGATAAGATAAAACATTCTAATTTGAACCATTTAAATCATCCCTCAATAATTACATTATTTTAACAAAGTATTCTACTTCAATCATATATGGAAAACTAGATGAAGGTTAAAATCCAAGGATGGTATAATTTGATGGGGGGGGGGAGGCAACAGTTATACGACTAATGTATAATTTAAAATTTTAAATATTCAAAGATTACGTATAAATAGAACACCTTTAAAGAAAAAGCATTGAATCAAAAGAGGGTAAAACCCTCTTCTATGTCTCTATATATACACAAGAGCTTAGTTCTTTCCTTTAGCTTGAGTGTTGTGGGTTGCCGTAAAGCTTGCTTAAAGACATGCTCATCGAAAAAAAATGTCCAAGTCGAAAAAGCCCTCTAATGAAAACCAAATTAGGTTTAATTAAAAAGTAAAAATGAAATGTTGGAAAATTTGATGGAACATTTGTAAGAATGTATTAGGTATGATTTAACTAATTAGATGATATTTTGAAATTTATATAATATTGGGTATATATCTTCTATAACATTTTTTCATTCTTATGATTTATCTAATCAATTTTCTCTCTCAATCTTTACAAAAACTACTGACGGCTCTCTCCATCAGTTCCTTCACAAAAACCAGAGGTGCGTCTCTTCCTTTTCCCCCTTTTATTCAAAGATTTTAATGTTTGGTTAGGGATTTTAATCTTATTTTATTATTTAGATTCTTCATTGTTCGTAACTTTGGATTTGTGTATTAGAAGAATTATTTCTATGAATTCTATTTTTAGGTATTTTTTTCTCATTTTTTCTTGGTAGATTAGTTTTTTTAATTCTACATTTAGGTATTTCTTTTTGAGCATATATGTAAACTATTATGTGTTCTAATCCTCTCTACTGTAATTTTGATATTTGCATAAGATGAATCTATCACCAAATACCGTGCTTGCTGTTTAAACCTTCAAATAGATAAGAAGGCAAATTCAACTCATTTAATTTTATTGAGACTTAGGGCTTGATTGGATTGAGGGGAATAAGGGTGAATGGAAGTTAGGGGAACCATTCACCTCCATTCACCTTGTTTGGGAATTGGATTGAGGGGAATAAGGGTGAATGGAAGTTAGGGGAACCATTCACCTCCATTCACCTTGTTTGGGAACATTTAGGAGGTGAAGTTATTCACCCACCTCCATTCACCTTGTTTGGGAACATTTAGGAGGTGAAGTTATTCACCCTAGTTCCCCTTGGTTCACCACCTAGGGGGGGTCGGGGGGGTTATTCATTGGTGTAATTTGGTGTAATTTAGGGTAAATTGTTCCAATGAGGTAATTTTACCCAATGGGATAATTGAGTGGAATAAATTAGGGTAAAATGGGGTAATGGGACAATTTAAGTGGGACAATTTAGTATAACATCTTTTTATAATATTATATTTATAGCTCAATTAAATTCAAGTTTAACTTGACATAACATCAAATGATTAAATAAATAATAGTTATAATATACAATAATATTATTTTTAAGATTATTTTAATATAAAATAATAAAAATAATATAATAATATTAATATTAATCAATCTTTGAATATTTTGATGTTTATTTTAATATTTATGCTATATTAATAAATTTTTTAATTGCAATAATTGTTCAAACATACAACCCAAATCTTTAATAACACACAAAATTTTCCAACTGTCATACAAATCACCAGAGCATAGTTTCAACATCAAATTATCACAAGTACATAGTTTCAACGTCAAATTATCACAACAATACAAGAAAATTCACAAGTACATAGTTTCAACATCAAATTATCACAACAATACAAGATAAATGGTTTCAACATCGAATTGTGGCCGCCGCCGTTGCGCCACCACCCTCCTCCGCTCACCTTCCCTCACCGCGCCAAACACCCCTAACACCACCTCCCCCTCCGACCACATGCCACCAAGTACCCCCAGAACCACCTCCTTCAACCCCAAACCGCCCGAACCCGAGCTCCACCACAACTTCTCCTGATCAAGCTGCCTCTGCTGCTAACAATCACCATGAACAGTATCTTAACATGTTTCCATTTCCCTACTTTTCAAGCATCAACACTTCAGAAACTCGGGAAAGGATTGCATTGCAAAGGACGAAATCATGATTCTTATGTCCTCATTGTGTGCAAACGAACTGAAAATCCTTCACAACTCTTTATATAATACTAAATCCTTCACAACTCTTTATATAATACTATGTGATTGATACCATTTCGGCCTTCCCCGTCACTTTAATCAGCATAGTCGTGACTAGACCTCCTATTTGTGCAGCCATGTTGCTAATGCGAATGAGGAGATTATCAGCAGTATCCTCATCAAATAGAAAAATAGAGACATTCTGATTATCTTCCATCCTGTATTAGGAAACGAGATCAAATAATAGTAATATTTTTAATACAATATATTCACCAAAAAAGTAAGAATTCCATCACTACAAGTAATTCCATCACTATCCAAAGCATGCATAAGAATTCCATCACACAACCAGTAATCAAGCCACGTGACCCCCTCTAACACTTCATTACTAATGCAAACAACTATCCAAAGCAAATTAGATAGAACAACCTCACCTGTATAATAACAAAAACATACCAAGATAATAGTCATTAATAAAAGAATCTGACACGAGTTATACACAAACTTGGCATGGGAATACATATCTATCTTACAATTACTGGGGATTGATGCATGATTTAATGAGTTTTAAGTTGGCATAGTACTTTGATTTCTTTGGCAGTCTTGATAGTTTGATGCCAAACAATATGACAGGTATCATGTAAAATCAACAGAAGGGAACTTCACCACCAATCAACATAACTAGTAGCATCCTCAAAAATTCATATGCTCCAGGCCCTCAACAGGCACAGTCAACCGCAAAAAGTAATCATATAAATGGCAATGTTTGTTGTTATTAAGCTTCTAGAGTTCAAATATTTTGGAGATGAAGAAGTTATCGTGTTCAAGCTTTTCTTTCACTTGTTTTTAATTGGTGTTTCCTTGTAAACAATGTTAGTCTCTTCTGGATTGGATACACAATAAAGAACATCTCATATAGGAATGAATTCCGTTTATCATGATATACATATCTAAAAACATCTATAATAAACATCTATAATTAAAAATATTGACATTTCAGGACTCCTAACCATGTTTCACATGGTAACTTTAGTTGTATTGTCATATCTAAAAACTCAACATGTATTCCCTGATATTGGTCTCCTGCAGCTATAAAATCAGCACTTGTGACGACATGTAAATTATTCATGGATATAGTAAATTTTACAAAACTAACACGACCTGTCAGAATACAGATCTTTTCAAGAAATCTCATATAGGAATGAAGTGTTTTGAACCATAAAGGCGATAACTGAAAGTTCCATAGTGCCTCCTACATTCCCAGTGAATAGCTCACAAGATCCTGATCTGATACTATGAGGACATTCTGATAAAATTTATTCTAAATCTGTTTAGAACTTTGTAGGAAACTATTGTTAACCATTTTTATTAGAGAAAACTACCGCAAACTCTAAAATCAATGGATAAACCTCTCTGAAGGCACTAGGAATTGTATTACAATGAATAAAATTTTACCTAATTAACGGTTTTAAGGTTAAGGGCATGCGTATCACATTTTACTGGAAGTTAGACAATAAAAACTTTTTCTAATAAATAGTTTATGATAATTTTCTATGAATCCTGGTCTTTGTGAAATTCACACTAGCATATACAGTCAAGTTTACAAAGGATCAGTTTGGCACCTGGCCTGAAATCAGTTTTGGCCTAAATCAGTTTTGTGAAATTCACACTAGCATATACAGTCAAGTTTACAAAGGATCAGTTTGGCACCTGGCTTGAAATCAGTCAAGTTTACATGAATATTGAGCCCATTTTTCTCAAAAAAAAAAAGAACAATATTTCAGAGATTTCAGATCAACTTGTAGAACTGAGATAGGTTGAGGTAGGGTACCTGGGTTGGGTAGGTTGAGGCGGTGGTGCGGAGGCGGCGGCGGAGGAGATGGCGGCGGGCGATCGTGCTCGAGAACGACGACGGCGAAGTCGGCGAACGAGCTCGAGAACGGCGGCGATGGACCTCGAGAACGGCGACGGCGGAGCGGGCGCTCGAGAACGGCGACGGCAGAGCTGGCTCTCAAGCTCGAGAACGACGACGGAGGAGCGGGTGAACGACCTCGAGAACGACGACGACGAATTTGTTCTCGATCGAGCTCGAGAACGGAAGTTCTTTTGTCCCAGGAGGCGATATGGGGTAATTTTGAGCTTGG